TCCATCCTGGGCCTCCTGCAGTGCCACAACGATGCCACCCGAAGGTTGCAGGAACAGCAACTCATATTCCGCTTGGGAACCCTGCAGCCCAATGGTATCAATGTGGATTTCACAAGTTTCAAAATCTCCCCTCCCCCTACCGCATCCCAAAACCAGTCCAGCTCGTCCCTGCCTCCCTAACCTGTTCTTCCTCCCACCTATCCCTTCCTCCCACCTCAAGCCGCACCCCCATCTCCTACCGACCAACCTCATCCCGCCCCCTGGACTGACCTATCCCCTTCCTAACTCCCCACCTACACTCACCTTTACTGGCCCCATCCCCGCCTCTTCGACCTGTTTGTTTCCTCGCCACCTATCCTCTCCTCTATCCGCCTCCCACTCTCTCCCTATTTATTTCAGAACCCACTTCCCCTCCCCTTTTTCTGATGAAGGGTCTAGGCCCGAAACGTCAGCCTCTCTGCTCCTATGATGCTGCTTGGCCTGCTGTGTTCATCCAGCCCTGCACCTTGTTGTCTCGGATTATTCAGCATCTGCAGTTCCCACTATCTCTGATTCAAAGGATTACTTAAGTTTCGTTTTCGAAGTACAGTGACCACTTGCACTGAATCAAATTTCAGTCATATATTTAGTTCTATGTAATAGGGGACACAGCTTTCTAGATTTAAGCTTGCCTGTATCTAGTTTATTTGGGTTACCTTAATGTACTTTTCTGCCTTTTTTCTTCAGTTGCTCTTCCATAAATAATATGAACCAGTTTACTGTCTGACGCAATGAGGTATTAAATGTGACACTCTTTTGTCGGTTATTATTTTGTAAATTGCCCCAGTGCCATGATGCGATCTGATAAATGCACGTTCGGGGTTGCTAGGAGCCGTCACGCAGCGGGTGATTGTTCGAACTCAACTCGAAATTAAACAGCAATTCATTGTAATTTAATCGACCCTGAAGCCGCTGATCAGTCAATGGAAATGAAGCAATTTGAAGGAGCTCCTTTTGGAACTCAGAAAGCCAGGTAAATTGAAGGCAAGAATTCCCAGATTGTGTAATGTTTTTCAATGGGGTTATTCAACATTGACAGATTCCTAATTAATAGAGATGAGGACTGCGAACAAGTCTACGTGGAAATTGTATGAGATTGTTTGAGAAGTATTGTACACCACTTTATACGAAAGGGAAAGATAGTGGAGAGGAAATGAATCCTACACTGGGTAGAAGATATTGGTGTAAGTTAAAGGAAAGTATAATTAACTAAATTGAAAAAAAAGTGCCAGGATCTGATAGGATAGTTTAAGGATTTTGCAAAGGAGGAAGAAATAACAGAGACCGACGAATTGAGTTACATTGACAGGGGATGTATTTTAAAGGACGCAAGAGTGACCGATATGATACTCGTTTTCAGAAAGAGAAATAGAACTAATCTAGTCAAGTGATTTAATATTTGTGACTTTTAAAAAACATGTCGGAACCTTCAATTAAAATTAAATACCTAGACGAAGGGAAAACTAAATAGCAGTGGCTAACAATAATTTCACAAAGGTATGTGTTTGACAAATCCAACAGAGCTTTGAAGAGGTCGAAGATACAGAATAAGGGAAAAGAATATTGTTTGCATGGACTTTTAGAAAGCTTTTGATAAGGTACAACAGGGGACTTATTGGAGAAGATTGAGGGATGTTAAATTCAGGGAAGCATAACTAATTGCATTGTTTTGTGCATTGAGAATGATCGCAAGGCTATTAGTGCTCACTCTTAGTGTAAATTGTATAGCAATTTCCAACACACACACTGATCCTGGAGAAGGTGGAACTATTTCTGTATCCTGTGAAACCTCTCTTCACAAAAGCAGACAGAGATAGGAATTCATCATAACTTCTAATTGTGCCAGATTAGCCTTTGACTGATTGTGGAAAAGAGCATTTGATCACCAGGATTTCAAAATGCTAAGATCATACTTTACTGAGCAGCAGTGATCCCACATTCCTATATGCATTAGAGCATTGGCAAACCTACAGTAGACACCTCAGAGCACTGGAGAATTACCATCAATGGTGCCTTTTTAAGACCCTCCAACATGAGTGACAGGAAAGATTATGCCAGAGCAACATCATTTCTCAAACCAACATACCCAGCATCAAGGCACCAATCACTCAAAACCAACTTCGTCGGGCTAGACATGACATTTGTGTGCCTGTTGCCAGTTTCCCAAAGCAACTCTCCTAGTTGGAACTCTGTTAAGGCAGGACACTCCCGTGGGGATAGTGGGAGTGCTTTCAGGATGTCTTCAAAGCATTCTCACTAACTTATGGGAGTCCCCAGCTTGTGACCAACCAAAATGGGTGACACTTTGTTTAGGAAGGCACTGAACACCAAGAGCAGAGAGTGAGAATTGAGGCCAATTGATTGAAAGTGAGAAGCAATATTTTCACAGGGCTCTGCTCCAAGGTTGATTCTGTCTACTGTGTCCATCAATGAAAGGGATAAAGGATGGGAGGAGATTTTCCCCAAATTTAAGATGATACTAAAGTAGGAAGCATAGCAAATAATTTAGTGGACTGAATTAAATGGCAAAGAGAAATTGTCAGTACTTGTGATTTTGATTATTTAAAAAAAATCATAAAAGGAATTGGAAAAGATGGACAATGCATTGGAAGAGAGAGGTTTAAGTATGTAAATTCATATTCTTATCTGAAATAGATAATGTCATAATTCTAATAATTTCCCATGTTCAAGGTGCAATATAAGTGTAAGTTATTGCTAGTGGAATCCTGGGAATTGCTGTACACATTAAGGACATGGCATTATAAACTTATTAACATGACCTATGTAAAGGTAATATGCCTTATTATGTAAAAGAAACTTTTTAGGTCTAGTCAGTGACCTGTGTACAAGCATTGATATTAAATACAAAACTTGGAACCAGTTAATATGACTGTCTGCTATTTTGGAATAGTGAGGTGAGGTGTAAACGTATTATGCAACGTTGTACAGCCCAATTCATAGTTTGTGAACTAAGTTTGATACAACTCAATAATGACAATATTGTGGAGTTGAGTTATGTGACACGTGTCTTCTCATAGCATTATCTAATCAGTAATACCTGCTGATAACCTTCATAGCAGTTTGGAATATTTTTAAAACTGCAAAATGGGCTTGTGAAATTGTTGATGAGTTTTAGAATAAAACTTAAAACATTTCCTATGGGGTGCTGAAGGGATAGTAGATAAAAGAAAACAACCATTCTGGTCCATTATGTATGCTAGGAGAAGGGAGGGAAGCAATTAAACAGTTTGATTTCAATCTTGGTTATAAAAATGTTCACAAATCCCTTGCACTTGCTGTTGGAAGCAAGGATGGAAACGGAAGGGAACAATGTCTAAGAAAATCTGGACATGAGAAGCCTGAGGTTATCATTATTTCAGGATCACCCTAGAATGCAATGCAAAGTTTGGACAGATGAGAAAAGGATTCAATTTGTGTTTTATGTGGTTAAGCCAGATTTGGTGATGAACAGTTAAACCATCTGTCTGCCATAACCATTCAAGGCTGTGACCTTTGGAAATAAGAGAGTGGAGATAGAAAAATCACAGGAAATGATTAAGGTGATTTTACTGGGGACAAGGGGATTGAAGGTAGAGGTGAAGGTATGCTTGAGGAGCTGGGTAGCTGCAGAAATGCAATGGTGAATGAATAGCTGAATCTAGACATTAGTCATTTGAAAATGGGCTGGAAAGTGACTTTAGAATAGTTATTTTTAAGGGTGGATATGGAAAGAAGTCAAGTTGGAAGTGGGATAGGAGATGTGGTGGACATGAATTTAAAAACTATGCCATAACTTTACCTATTATAGTCATTTTTTGAATGTCTGAAGCTAAAGTTAAGATAAACAAAGGTGCATATGGTCTGATTCGTGCTGAATATCGAAAGGGTTGAATGGCATTTCTCCTTTCAAAATCTTTGCATTGTATGTATCTAGTAACATAAGGCAACATTGTTTTTGGTGCTATTACAGGTTTGATGTGTATGGAGTTCACCCAGACAGAAAGAAGCAAGGCGCTTACACAGAAGTGCCTTACGATAAGAGGGCCACTGGGGAACTGGTGAGTTAAACAGGATTACAGAATTAGGTGAGTCAGGTCAGGTGACGGGGCAAACCCACACAGTTGGTTATTGAATCATCTACTATCTAATCACTGTTGGCACATTTTGGCAAGTTCTAACTTTTATATGTCAATTGTATGTTGAGGAAGGGCAGGGGCAAAAATCGGAGTTATATTCAAATGCACCCTGATAATTCATTGAACAGTGGCTATCATAGTCGGGAGTGGAAGAGCAAGTTAATTAGCATCACTTGCCAATTTATCCAGCATAGGTCTGAAAGTATAATGATATTTTTTTTAAAGTTTTAAAATACTTTGAATCCCTTAAATTTTGTCAGAAACTCTGATAGAGTCATTGTACAGCATGGACGACTTGTCCATGTCGACCAGATATCCTAAATTAATCTAGTCCCATTTGTCAGCATTTGGCCCGTATCTTTCTAAACCCTTCCTATTCATGTTCCCATGCCTTTTAGATGTTGTAATTCTATCAGTTTCCACCAGTTCCTCTGGCAGCTCATTCCATATATGCACCACCCTCTGCGTGAAAAAATTGTCCCTGTATGTCGCTTTTATATCTTTCTGATCTCATCTTAAACCTATGGCCTCAAGCTTTGGACTTCCCCACCCTAGGAAAAGGACCTTGGCTATTTACCCTCTCCATGCCCCTCATGATTTTGTAAACTTCTATAAGGTCACCCCTCAGTCTCCAATGCTCCAGGGAAAATAGCCTCAGCCTATTCAGCCTCTTCCTAAAACTCAAACCTCCAACCTTTGCAACATCCTTATAAATCTTTTCTACACCCTTTCAAGGTTAACAACATCTTTCCTGTAGCAGGGAGACCAGAATTAAGTGTCGTATTCCAAAGGTGGCCTAACCAATGTCCTGTACAGCCGCAACAAGACATTCCAACTCTTATTCTCAATGTGCTGACTAATAAAGACAAGCGTACCCTTTCTATCTGTGACTCCACCTTAAAAGAACAATGAACCTGCACCCCAAGGTCTCTTTGTTGAGCAACACTCCCAGGGCTTCACCATTAAGTGTATAAATCCTGTCCTGAATTGCCTTACCAAAATGCAACATTTCACATTTGTCCAAATTAAACTCCATCTGCCACTCCTCAGCCCATTTGATCAAGATCCCGTTGTATTCTGAGATAGCATTCTTCACTGTCCACTTCACCACAAATTTTGGTGTCATTTTCAAGCTTGCTAACCATTCCTCCTATATTCACATCCAAAGCATTTATATAAATGTTGAAAAGTAGGGGACCCAGCACCGATCCTTGCAGCACACCACTGGTCACAGGCCTCCAGTCTGAAAATAACCCTCCACTACCACTCTCTGTCTTCTATCTTCATGCCAATTTTGACCAAATGGCTAGTTCTCCCTGTATTCCACGTGATCCAACTTTGCTAACCAGTCTACCATGTGGAACTTTGTCGAACGTCTTGTTGAAGTCCATATGGACAACGTCCATCACTCTGCCTTCATCAATCATCTTTGTCACGTCTTCAAAAAACTCAATCAAGTTAGTGAGACATGATTTCACCATGCACAAAGCCATGTTGACTATCTCTAATCAGTCCTTGCCTTTCCAAATACAGGTAGGTCCTGTCCTTCAGAATTCCCTCCAACAACTTGCCCACCGCTGTCATCAGGCTCATCAGTCTATAGTTCTGGCTTTTCCTTATCACTTTCTTGAAAAATGGCATCACATTAGCCACCCTCCAGTCTTCCGGCATCTCACCCGTGGCTATTGATGATAAAAATATATCAGCAAGGGGCCTAGCAATCACTTCCCTAGCTTCCCACAAAGTTCTGGGATACACCTGATCGGCTCTCGGAGATTTATCCACCTTTATGCGTTTTAAGACCTCCAGCAACACGTCCTCAGTAATATGGACGCTTTTCAAGATATCACTGTTTATTTCTCCAAGGTCTCTAGGCTCCACATCCTTCTCCACAGTAAATACTGATGCAAAATACTCATTTAGTATCTCACCCATCTCCTGTGGGTTCCACACATAGATAGCCTTGTTGATCTTCGTGGCCCTATTCTCTTCCTAGTTACTCTTTTGCCCTCAAGGTATTTCTGGGGAACTCAACCCAAAACGTTAACTCTAATTTCTGTCCATGGATGCTGCCAGACCTGCTGAGTGTTTCCAGCAATTACTATTTTTGTCTCTGATTTACAGCATCTTCAGTTCCTTCGGTTTTAAAACGCGGATCCTATCTGTGAATGAAAAAATGCAGATTTGTTGTGTGAAACTTATTTTCATCGGTGGCCTTTCTGAAAACCCATAAATGAACACGATCAGTGACACAAGCAATATTTATGAGGTAGATTATGATAGGACATAAGCACATGCCTCCATATTTTATTTGCTTCCACAAGCTTGGCTTGCATTTGCATGGCAGAAATATTTAAACATCCAAATGAACTTAAGGATGTTTTCATTGTTTTCTCTGCTTCAGTTCAGTCAATGGAGGTTGCCAATTGAGAGCATGAATCATGTACCATCTTAAGGAGTAGAAGCTACATACCCCATGTCACACTTTTAAGCAGATTCTTCTGGATGAATATTATTCGCAGCTATGCAGTCAGACCTACACCAAAATAAATTGTACAGCAGAAAGATATGCAAAAATTTCATCTTCGGGTAGATTGCAGTAAAAGCTCTCACTCTGCCCTCCTTCCACTTACATTTATAAATTGATAATCCATGCAATTCTCTGAATGAAATGTTTTAATTCCATAGTTTTGTTTTCCTAATGCTTTTTCAGTGCTTGTCTGCGATTATCAATTTCTTTCATTCTTTTTACTTTTTGCATTCCGAGAAAGCGAGAGCAAGATTATTTTACTTGAAAAAGTTATTGCTTGCTGGGGAGGTGATGGCCTTAGTGGTATTATTGCTGGACTGTTAATCCAGAGACCCAGGTAATGTTTTGGGGACCCAGGTTCGAATCCTGCCACAGCAGTTGGTGGAATTTAAATGTGATAAAAATCTGGAATTAAGAGTCTGATGATGACCATAAAATCATTGTCGATTGTCAGAAAAACTAATGTCCTTTAGGAAACTGCCATCCTTACCTGTTCTGGATTACAGACCCACAGAAATGTGGTTGACTCTTAACTGCCTTCTGGGCAATTAGGGATGGCAATAAATGCTGTCCTAGACAGTGATGCCCTCATCCTGTGAATCAATTTTTAAAAAAAAAGTTCAATTTGGTCCTTGGCCACAAAGGAATTTAATAGTAAACAAATAACATTAAATTTCTTCAAATAAACAGATCCTTCTGTTATCAATATTCTCCTTTCCTGGTTCAGTTTTTTCAATGCCCCCTTTCCAATTATAATGATGAGTCAATGTTTCTCCTTTTCAGATGTTCCAACATTTCCAACATTTTCTGATTTTTTTTTCAGTTTTATTGTACTGCAGTTCTACATCTATGTATGCCTGTTTAGATAATCAACTCTTTCTTTGTATCCAAGGAGAAACTAATTCTTTGTTTTGGTGAACATTTTCATAAACAATTATTGTGATTCTGGCAGGAGTGTTTGTGGTCATTTCTGCATATCCTCCACTATTTGTGCCTTAAGAACCTAATTTAGCAAATTTGCACTGTCTTTCAAACAAAATCCCAAGGGAATTGCTTTAATCCCATGAGAATTAATGGATTGTATCTGACAGCCTGCGACTCAGGACTAATGGAGTAATTTTGTTACCATTTCCCAAAGTAAACCTATTACAGATATATTGATTACTTATCCCATATTCCCATCTTTGCAATTATCTTTCTCTCTGCCACTGAAGCTGGGTAAAAGTAATGATGTCACCCCTATTAGTCTGGTTGTCTGTAAACAATTCATCTCAAAAAACTAATTTATAGATATCAATGGAACATGATACAGAGATAGTGTAATGTCCAAGGAAGAACTGATTAATTATTGACAAATATGCAGATTTGGTTCCAGATTCTGGAATTTCCTTAAATGATCTGTTAACATTGGGAGATAGAGCACATTGATTTTCATTCTTTAGAATATTATGGCTCATTTTATTTAGAATGTTGTTGATTACTTTACAATGTTATGGATTGCCTCAGCTCGTGTGGTGGCATTTGTCACAGCTGACAACGTATGAGCAGAGTTTTCAGTGCAGGTTGCTACATGTGGACTGGCCTAAAGCCTCCTAAGTGAGATAGAAACTTTTAATAAAAAACTTTATTTTCCAACTTTGTAGTTACAGAACACAAATCAGATAAGGAAAAAACTTCATGGAAGAAATCCATAATTGTAATAATGTTGAATTAACTGCATGGTGGAGGTATATGTTCTGCTGATGCCTTCTTCATTTGGTTAGATTTGTATTTGTCCTCTGGAATCTTAAATTTGAATAGACCATAACTCCTAAACTCTGGGTTTCACTGACTGGAACTCTTCACCTCTCTACCTCATCTTCCTCCTTTGAAAAATTCTTCATCAGCTAAACTGAAATCTCCTTTTGTCATTCACAATATTTGTCATATTTTATTCTTTCAATGTTCCTGTTGAGCACCTTGGGATGTTTTATGACTTTAAACATGCTATTTAGATGTAAGCTGCTGCTGTGTTTGTTTGGGTTAGAGGTGCAGAACAGAACTCTAAAAATCTGAAAATAAATATTCCCAGATTTTTAAAATAAAATCAGACTTTCTACAATCCCAGTCTCACATTACATAAAGCAGATCACATCAGTGACGGGATGTGGGCACTCATTTGGATACAAATGAGATCTCTAACCTAAATCAGAGAAAGCAAATGTAAATGCTAATACTTGGGGATCAGAAATTAAACCAAATCTCACGCTTCAAAAAAGAATGGGAACAGGTTATTTTGTTTCTTTGTTAGGAGATGGTTCAGATTTAGAGCAATCTGAGATGACTTTCTTTTTCATATTCCCCACCCTGTAGGAAAATCTTGTTATTGGAAGACTGGGAACCTTGGATGGCAGGAAATTGAGAGCTTAATCAAAAATAAAAAGGAGGCATATGTAAGGTTTAGGAAACTGAAGACTGACAGAGCCCTCGAAGAATATAAAGGTAGCAGGAAAGAACTCAAATAAGGAAATTAGAAGGGCAGAAATGGGCCACGAAATGTCTTTGGCAAGCAACATTAAGGAAAATCCCAAGGTATTAAAGGTGGAAGAGGGTAGCTAGAATAAGTGTAGGTCAGCTCAAGGACAAAGGAAGAAATTTATGCATGGAGCTGCAGAAAATGGGTGAGGTCCTTTAACAAATATTTTTCATTAGCATTCTCAAAGGAGAAGGACATGGTGGATAGTGATTCTCAAAAGGGGTGTATTGATATTCTAGAGCATGTCAATATAAAACAGGACGTGGTGTTGGGTGTTCTGAAAAGCATTAAGGTAGAGAAGTCCCCAGGACCTGATGGGATCTATTCCAGAATGCTGAGGGAGGCAGATGAGGAAATTGATGGGGACTTGTATGAAATCTTTGTATCCTCTTTAGTCACAGGAAAACTCCAACAGGACTGGAGAATAGCCACATTGTTCCTTTGATTAAGAAGGACAATAGGGTTAATCTGGGAAAGGACAGGCCAGTTAGCTTTACGTCAGTGGTAGGGAAATTATTGGAGAAGATTCTTAGGGATGGGATTTACTCACATTTGGAAAAATATGGACTTATCAGTGATAGGCAGCATGGCTTTGTGCAGGTGAGGTTGTGTCTCACAAACCTGGTTCGAATTTTTTGAAGAAGTGATAAAGATGATTGATGAGGGCAGGGTGGTAGATATTGTCTCCATGGACTTTAGTAAGGCCTTTGACAAGGCCAACTGCTATGGTGTCATCCAGCCCAGTCCTCTGCTAAGGGGCCCTCTCCACAGTTACTGTTTTGTCCTTAATATACTTGTAGAATCTCTTTGGGTTCTCCTTAACCTTATCTGCCAGGCTATGTCATGTCTCCTTTTTGCCTTCCTGATTTTGCTCAAGCGTACTCATACACCCCCAATACTCCTCAAGGGATTCATTTAAGCCTAGCTATCTATACCTGACATATACATTCTCCTTTTTCTTGACCAGATGCTCAATATCTCCAACCAGCCTTCGCCCCTTCACACTAACAGGAATATGCTGTCTCTAAACTCTCATTATCTCACTTTTGAAAGCCTCTTACTTGCCACACCTCAACTTACAGAGGGATCTAGACATATATATCCATAGTTCCCTGAAAATGGCCACACAGGTGGATAAGGTGGTAATGAAGGCATATGACATGCTTGCCCTCATCAGTCAGCTTACAGACTATAAAAATTGGCCATATTTGGAACATTGTGTACAGTTCTGGTCAGCACGCTTCTAGAAGGATAGAATCTTTGAAACAGAGAATCCCTACAGCACAGAAAGAGGCAATTCAGACCATCAAATCTGCACTGACCCTCCAAGGAGCATCCCAGCCGATTCAGCCTTCTACCCTATCCCGGTAATCCTGCATTTACCAAGACTAATCCACATTGCCAGTACATCCCTAGATACTACAGACAATTCAGCACAGCCAACCTGCCTAACCTGTACACCTTTAGCCTGTGGAGGAAACCAGAGCACCCAGAGGAAATCCACACAGACACGGGTGAACACGCAAATTGCACACAGACAGTCACCCAAGGCTGGAATCAAACCTGGGTCCCTGGCACTGTGAGGTAGCGGTGCTAACCACTGAGCCACCGTGCTGCCCTAAGCTTTGGAGAGGGTACAGAAACAGTTTGCCAGGATGTTGCCTGGTTTGGAGGGTATTAGCTATGGCTGAGAGATTGGACAAACTTGGTTCATTTTCATTTGAATGTCAAAGAATGAGGGGCAACCTGATAGAAGTTTACAAAATTATGAGAGGCATGGGTAGAATGGATAGTCAGCATTTTTTCCCAAGGGTGGAAATGTCAATTACTAGGGCACATAAGTTTAAGGTAAAAGGGTATCAATTCAAAGGAGATGTGGGAGGCAAGTTTTTTTTTACACAGAGGGTGGTAAGTTCCTGGAATGCGCTGCCAGACGAGGTGGTGGAGGCAGATGGAATAGCAATGTTTAGGAGGCATCTTAACAGATATATCAATATGCAAGGAATAGAGGGATACGGACCACATAGAGGCAAAAGGCTTTCAGTTTAGCATGGCATCATGTGTCAGTGCAGTCCTGGTGGGCCGAAGGGCCTGTTCCTCTGTCGTATTGTTGTTTGTTCTTTGACAGAGCTAACTAACATCTCTAACTTGACAGAACAGCTAAAATCAGTAACTAACTGTATGCCCATTCTTTGTTACAATAAATTATTTATTAACTGTTGAAGAATCAATGTTGAGAAGAATTAAATTCTCTTTCAGGAAAGAAGATTGGCACCTGGTTACTACAATGTGGACACAGGAGACTTCAGTCCTAGCAAGGTTTCTTGTAAAGCAGCAGGTCCTGGTTGGGCAAGAGCGTATGAAATAGAAAGGTTTGCTCAGACACCACAGTCATTTTATAAAGAACAAAAGCTAAAAAAGAAGTTCTTGGTAAGTAATGTTTTCACAGACTATTTTATTCACATTGTTATGATCCCAGCTGATGTTACTACTGGACAAATCAGATGTCAGACTGAAATCAGATCTGATAGATCATATTTTGTTTTTTGTTATTGAACAATGTGGTCTTTCACTGAAACACAAAGCATGCAGTTCCAAAGATTTGGTTTCAACAATAACATAGAAGTTAACTACACAAAAGGAACGAAGATAAAGTGAAATAAACCAAGCTATTTACATTTAACACAATTTAAAAGGTTTCAAAACATGTGATAAAAATACAATATTCCATCTATCCCAACAGTATTCTTTTACCGTATTCAAACACACAAGAGAATTCCCTTCTGTAATACATCAATAGGTATGACTTAACTGTTGCTTTTGGTTTTCAGTCTTGAGAGTTTGATAGCCTCTTCTTTGAATAGTCACAACTGAGCTTTGACTTTCTCAGTTTTCAATAACTCCTTCAGGGTTCGAACCAAACACGTCTGCTCTGTATATTTAGTTTCAAACTAAACCCTTACCATTGAGGTAACCTATTACTAACTTTTCTGAACTAATTCGTTGCTTCAGGAGAACTGTGTTCTTACAGTAAACTTCAACCATAGCTTCCTTGAACAGAAACCAAAAGGTTTTTCCAAGCCACACAGTGTGGAGTTGGAGGAACGTTGTAGGACTGTGCTGAAGGGTCCCAACCCGAAACATCGACTTTCCTATTCTTCTGATGCTGCCTAACCTGCTGTGTTCCTCCAGCTCCACGCTGTATTGACTCTGACTCCAGTATCTGCAGTTTTTGCTTTCTCCGAGTTTTTCTTCCAAGCTATGGTTCTTCCCCCAAGCAAAATTAATTAATCCTTGATCCTTCTAACATGTTGAAGGATAGAGGGATAATGCAGATCAAAGTTTACTCTGAGCAGTCTCTCAGTGCAAACTAATTTCTATTAGCACTCCAGGAACTCACTCTCTCATTTGTTTCCAAAAACCATTGCTCCAGAACTAGTGACAAGTTAATCATTAAACCACCTTATAGACAGACTAAAACCTGCATGCCACTCGCTCAAAATCCAAACTTCATATATATACTCACCTTACATCACAACATTTCCTTATTCTCTTTGAAATGGAGAAATGTTTCAGATTAACACCTTTGTTCATTATCAGTAAATGTATACCAAAATCCAAAATATAGCCAACCTCTTTAAATGTACCTGGGTGCTGTTTTTGGAGCCTAATTGTTTCCTTATTTCTAATTTAAAACATACACTTTAAACACAGGTCTTAATGTTATAAAAGCATGCTTGAACAGTAAGTCAGAGTATCAGATCATGACTTTTACTTGGTACAATGCAACAAAATCTGAGTTGCCTGGTTTATGCTTCTAACCGGAGGTTGCAAAGTTATGCTAGCAAACAGAATAATTTCTGACCTGTTGCAGTGTACTTTCTTACAATCCCTGTAAAGACTGTTAAGTTTTAAAAGGAAATTAATTTCCCAGTGAACAATGTAGAATCATAGAAACAAACACAGAATGCTAGAAAACTCAGCAGGTCTGGCAGCATCTGTAGAAAGAAAAAAAACAGAAACTCAGATTTCCAGCATTCGCAGCATACTTATTTTAAATAAAGAATCATTGAACTAGATTTCACATTTTTGACTTTTACTGAAATCACAGTCAGCTAAAACTAATACACTAAGTAACAGAAAAGTGTTCATCATTAACTACTTAACTTTACCAAAACACAACACCACTTTTATATGTTAGTCCAAACTTTTCAGCAGAAATGTACTCTTTTGTTTAATAATCCCAAGTTCCTCCTGGTTTTAACCAGATCTCTTCTCCCTGCTCCACAAGTGTGAATTTTTCAGAGTCCTTTTAACCTCTCTTTCATCCCATCTTCTGAGCATAATTTAATGGACTTCCACTGGCAAGGTACCCCCGTGAATCTTTAGTTTTTAACTGTTCAACTGTCCACAATCTTTGTTTCCTTGCACAGGGTTCAGTCCTCACAAGAACTCCAGACGATTAAGCACTTCTCACTGCCCCAGAAAAGCAACCAACAAAATCAAAGACACTTCCTGTCCCACCTATAATCTCTTCTGACAGACAGAAGTTACGAAAGCTTAAACTTGTGGACCAGCAGATTCAAGAACAGCTTCTTCCCCACTGTTATTAGATTTCTGAATGGACTTTTCAAATTTCAAATTTAATGTTGACTTTCTCTGCAGCCATGACATTGTATTCTTTGCTCTGCTGTATTACCCTAATAACTTCGAATGGTATATTCTGTCTGTACTGCATGCAAAACAAAACTTTTCACTGTACCTAGGTATGCATGAAAATAATAAAACAAATCAAACCAAGTCTGTTCTTTTTCTGTGTGGAGACAATTTAAACTATAATTGTCTTATGAAGTGCAGCAATCATAACAAATTAGAAAGACTTGGGTAAGACAAAAAGAGTCTGGGGTGAATGTTGAATCTTCTTTACTTCACAAAAGAATTACATACTAAAAGCAAATATGGCTTGCTTGTTACCAGCAAAAGATTTGCACCAATTAATATATTAGTATGCTTTTAGAAAATCACAATTAGGATAGTTAACTTAGGTTCCATTCAGGAACTAAACAAATAATTAGAACTCAAGAGAAATACTACATCTCTCAGCAAAAATGTTTAATGTCTTAATCATGAAAAGTCAGTGCAAGGGTAGGGTGGGTTGGTGAGGAGATGGGGTGGAGTTAGCTGTACTCTCCCTACACGTTCCTAGTTTTAGCCATCAAAGAGAGACTTCAGTGAGATGACCAAATGTTCCTGTTCTGCCAAAATCTACCTCATTTTTCAAGAAATGTCCCACTGCCTGACAACTTCCTAAATACAACTCTCCTAATTTTAATTTCTCCTTCTTTTAGGATAAAGAAATTGGGCCTGGTTAGAGAAAGTTTGTGTGAAATGCCATCCTTCTTCTTTTAAACAAGTATCACAGCACACTGCAATACATTCCAAGGGCCTGCATCTCATCTCATCTCATCTCATCTCAAAAGAAGTCGTCACAGTTTTGGCACCAACAGCCCTCCATTTTTGGTAGTACCTTTTAAACCATCCACAGAATACAACAGCCAATTCTGGCTGGATGCAGGCTGGGAGTTGACATCACATGGCCTTCCACTTTATACTGCCCCTCCCCCAGATTCCTGTAATTGGTTAAACAACATGTCAATCATCATACAGCCCCCAACTTCTCATGGATTTTCACTCAGTCCCTGTTTTGACTTCTAAAAATCTGGTCACTCCAGAGATCAAATCCTTCTTGCCATTCCCTTGACTTCCTCTTCCCAATGCATCCCAACCACATATACAGGGCTATTTTGATTTGATCAAATATAGCAACCTAATTCACATCCCTTAGGATGTGGGATCGTAGCATTGCAAAAGATTAAAATGGTGACTGGTGTTCATGCTCCTCTAAGATTAGTGCAGTCCTCCTAATGGTGTAAGTTTCCATGTGAAGTAAGTTTAGGCAACTTTAAATCTTACGTCCCCAAAATTAATTTGGTACAACTCAAAATAGGATTGCAAAACATGAGAATATTCCACTTTTTTTCAGAGTTACTTGTTTTTAGTCTCCTTTATTGAATTTCTTGGGGAATGTAAAATGTGCTATTGTTAGAGTAAAATAGGAAGAGACATGGAAACATTTGCTACACCTTTCCTGTTGGTGTTACATTAACTAGACAGTATGTATATTTCCACACATTTCTTACTTTATGAGGACATGACTGGCTTTCAATCAATGCTTTCTGGTTTGATGAGATTTCCTGATTGGGAAAGACAATGAGATTTGCTAACGCAGCATAATTGAGATAGAGATGTGCTTTACCATACAATAGAAACTCAAGAGTGACTGTCCCTAACACTGGAAGCAAAATAATTGGAACAAATATTCTATTCTTTTGAACAGATAAAATTCACTTCATTAAACAGTTTGGAAGTCTGAGAATTTGGTTTGAATTCTGCTGAACATGATATTTATAAGATAATTTGTTTAGACTGTGCAACATGTGAATAAGAAAAGGAAAGCATAGCAGTCAAAATTGAGAAATAAAAAGACATTTTTGTGTTTTTTTAACTGCAGGAAACAAATCTTGGTCCAGGCAAATATGAGATCCCACATTTTCTTGACTTATTACAAAAGAAGAATCCTGGAAGCAGAGGCATTTGTGACACTAACGAGCAGCGCTTTAAAAAGCAAAAAGATGTAAGGATTTAAATTATTGCCTTTTTAAACAATTTCTAATGTCTATATTGCATGACTGTTCATATCAACCTCAGTAAGCCAACAATTTTGTCTATGATTCTGCTAGCCTGCTCTGTTGGTTGACTATAACAGATTTGAAACTGAAAATATCAACATAGTGCAGAAGGGCAAAAAGTTGACCTTGCATTGTTTGGTACTACTAAACGTATGTTTGTTCGCATTATTGCTCAGAATTATCTGTTACTGAACTCATAAACATTATTTTAAGAATGGTGTTAACCTGAAATAAATATTTTTCATGCTGAGCCTCAAAGAGTTAAGCCAGGTAAATTCTTATCACATCAGAATATAAAGTGGAAGTGATTACAAGATTTTTACTTGGCTCTTTTTTCAGATTGGTAGCCCAGGTCCCGGTACGTATGGAAAGGGTGGGATTCCAACTGCGGTCCTGGAGGAGAAAGCAAAGATGTCTTTTGGGTCACAAGGAATAATGGATTCAAAATCTGCAAAGAACCGATCTCTTGATACAGTGGTAAGTATATCATTCTGTTGTATTCCTTTAAATTGATTTTACAATTATATGGTGCCTTTCATGTAAAAAGTTTCTCAAGGTACTTCACACATAAATAGCTACCAGAAAATGTTTCAACTAAATAAGCATTTCACAATTTCCTTTATATTGCAATTTGACTATACTGTGGCTTTAAGAGGTGTATTTTGTGCTTTTTTTTTAATTGAAAAGAGGTTTTAAGGCAGAGGTAATGTGCAGTCTACCAGAACCACTAGAGTAAACAGCTTGTGAAGTTTTGGGTTTTATTCCTTAAAGTTGGAACAATTGAAGCAGCCCGAATGGGTGCGGAAAGCTCTCACAGAACCAGGATTTTTTTTAATTTTTAGATCTCAGTAGTTGCTATTGGGGTCTTGAAGAAGTAGAAACTACTTTATTTCCTCTTTTGATTACAGCCATAAGCTGGGGTTTCTGTTCCTGCTACTGGAGTTGCATGTGAGACAATCTGTTTGCTGAATTTGCCTTTTGCCAAGGGTGGAGTTGCATGTGAGACAATCTGTTTGCTGAATTTGCCTTTTGCCAAGGGTATGTTTATGGGATGTTATTAAATTGGAACAGTCAATTAGTAATAGTCACTGTGTCTATTATTCTGTTAATTTTTCCAATAGAGTTAATTCCTCCTTGCTTTTGTTATGTTTTAACTATAGTAGACAAATAAAGTGTATTTTCTTTTCAATCCAGTAGTTTGATGAATCAAATTGTATCTGGAATGCAACATGTTACATTCACCTTTAAAATAAGAAAAGTTAGGGTCTATACTATCTTCTAAATATTTTGAGGGGGTTTGGTCTGTTCCATAACAGCAGTTATTACATTCTAAACCAGTATCAATTTCAAAGTGTGGACAAACCACCAAAGGGACAAATCTTATCTACTTTGATTCCTCAGAGATAACTTCTTTTCTTCATTGCTTATGCAGTAGCCTGGTGAAGCGGATTGTGCACCAGTTGTAGAACCTATCCAATATTCATTACATTGATTTCAACAGAAATTAAAAGACAATGAATAGAAGATCAGCAACAAAAAGTGAAAATTGCTTCTTTCAAATGCAGTATCTGGAATCAAAAATGACCTGGCACATGAAATTTATAAGCCTATTAATTACTGTTGCCATTATTAGTTGAAAATAATGTTTATATGATTTCCCTTGTCTACTATTTTAACAAGATCTATCCTGTTATGAATACTGCTATCAAAATCTAAACCATGAGCAAAAGGGTGTTTAATGAACACTTCTGCACTAATGTCAACAACAGTCATTTTCAAGCTATTCTCAGGTTATGTCCTTCAGTTTAAAAATATACCTTATACTTTTCTAGGGCTGTGACTTGGCACCAACAACATATAACCTTGAGAATAGCATAGATAAATTGCTGACACGGGTAGTCAGTAAACGTGGCCCCTATGATCTCTTTACGGGCGAAAGGAGTGATCGGATAAAAACTGGGCATCTTGCAACGGTATGTATGTACAATAGTCAGGATTATCTCACATTCACTATTTTATTTTTTTTCTGGAGCTTTAGGTCAGTTCTTAGATGTCTTCAATGATCTCCAGACAATGAAGCATTGAGCGCTGCATTGCATGAAAACCATGAGGTCTGAATTTGATAGCTCCTGTTAATGGGTTAAAAATGGTTAGTATACTGGACTCACAATGCCAGAATAAAGAGGCTGAAGGACAGTCCTAACATTTTTTTTCCCCTAGACGTTATTGGCATTAATACAAAAGTATAGGCATCAAATAAGTAGCTCACTAACTTGACCTTCTGAATTTTAGTGGGTTTGGTCATCCATCTGGCCTGTGAATAACATCAGGGGTGTGGGAAGAGTGAGGAATGAGGGAGAGGTGATGGGGCAGTGGCAGCCTGCAGCTTCACTGTGATGGTAGGAGAAACATTATTCCAACATTGAAATAAACCCTCTGCTATTCCTGTCTTAAGTCCATCACCAATGTAACAACAGCCCAAAAACTTATGCAAATCAATTGTAGTCTGTTCCTCTATTAGTTTTTATTGGATCCATTTTATGCATAAAATTTGGGCATAAATTTCAACAATATTGAATTTTTACCCCAGTAATACTTGACTGGTGTAATCTAAGTGTGAATCCATCTATGAAAAATGCCTATCCCTGTACAGGTTTTCAGAATGAAGCAATAATGCTGTCTCAGTCTCTCCTTCCTTTCATGTCATAACGCTGGCTATAATCTTGCCCTCATTGTTATTAAATTTAAAGACTCATTCAAGAAAATAAAACGGGTAAAAAAATAGAACTCACTCTGATGGAAATATATGCTGGAGCCAATATTACATATACAGTACAGACCTGTTGCCAGTTTAAAATGAGCTCTCTAAGGCAACTTGCCGGTTGGGTTGGGTAGGATAGAGCATGTGATCTGATCAGCTGTCCCCTATTTAATAGTGGCTTGCAGCATCTTAAAGAATAGAGTGAGTGGACAACAATCCAGTGGAGCAAGAGGCAGGATGATATTAACCACACATTACCATGGAGGTAAGTGTGCACAAGAAGAAAGCCCTCTTTCCCTCTGATAGGTGACAGTGTCAGAGAAAATTAGCCAGTAAAAAGGGAGGGAGGTAGCAGAGCATAGAAACACTACAAACATTCTGACATCCTGTCTGCAATGCGGTAAAACAAAATAATGAGTTCAAGGGACTTCATTATCTTTTCCTGTATTTCTCTTCTTGCCAGTGGTGAGGCTATACGTCAATTGGACAAATACACACCCAATCCTATCCCTTAAGATGCTCACACTTACTACTCCACCTAGAAGGACAAGGATAGCTGATTTATGGGAACATTGGAACTTCCAAGCTTGTTTCCAAATCTCACACCATCCTGACTTGGAACCATATCACTGTTCCTTCATTGTCACTGGGTCAAAATCTCATCTTAACAACGAAAGTACTGTGGAAAGAAACCATGATTTCTGTCATATTCTGGAAAATGCATTGAATAGTTAATAAGTTGCAGTCCATGCATAAATATAAATATATTAATAAGTACACTGACAATGCAAGTTCTAACTTTCATTACATCCAGAAAGATCTAAAACAAATGATGGAAAGAATCTTTTTTTTTCTTTTTAGGACCCACTGAATCTTTATCCTGGAATGTATAAAATTGAGTCATTCATTGATGATCTGTCAAATCCAGCAAAGAAACAACATGGAAAGTTCGGTACTGTTGAGCAGTACCCATTTCCCCCAGTAGAGAGAATATTCTACACTGGACTGAATATGTTTCGACCACAAGTCGTAAGTCTCCAGGGCTCCTGCTTTTTTACATTTTTCCTGCAAAACAATTGATATTTCCAGACCCGAAACGTCAGCTTTCCTGCTCCTCTGATGCTGCCTGGCCTGCTGTGTTCATCCAGCTCTACACCTTATTATCTCAGACTCCAGCATCGGCAGCTCATACTATCTCTGATATTTACTTCATTGTGTTTTGCTTGATGTGGTGTTGATACACTTTATTCCTATTTGTTCTCCTATGGCTCAACAGGGTAGGGATACCTTTTATGATGTGAAGCAACTTTCCAGGCCAGAAAATCGAAAACCGCCTCCTTTTTTGTCGTCCACAAGCCGGGGTGGTCGTGTACCTGTTAAAATGCTCACTTTTAACCCAGTAAGTGTGGGAATGTTGCGTTGCCAGATTGAATGATCTGTAATGAGTGTTGTCCACACCACCCAATATGCGGCCCAAACTGAATTGGGTACACCCAATTTTGATTTGATATATCGCCAAGAAATGTAAAAGATCAGAAGGACACAGATCCCAGACATGTTTAATACTTATTTTGAAGGGTTTGATATGTCAAAATAGGTGACATTTTCAACAAGAATGCATGAAAGTTGTTTGAGCCATGCTTACTGAAATGAAGCTTCCCATAGGAAATGAGAGCTTAGCTATATGATAGGAAGCTTGTTCTATTAATGTACTAATTATTAATGTTGTTTTGTCACAGAACAATGTTGGTGTAGGTCGCTATGACCCTGGTAAATATAATCCAAATCCAACAAAACCCTGCCAGTCACCTTTCAAATCCAAGACTCAACGTTACCTCAGCAACATTGAAAGGGATAAGTTCCTGCTGTAAGTTTGCATACACTGAATTGAGCTCTTCTAAAGAGTTTAACTAGCACTTGGTCTTGAGTATTTCTCACTCATAAGTCAAGTTAAACATGGCCATTTTGTGTCACTGTCTCCCAGCAATGCTATGATGTCAGTATTATTTTATCTCTTTTTTAAATCCAGAAGAGCTCCTGAATAGTTTCTTTTCCCATCACCAAATCACCTGTAGTATTTTTTCAACTATTAACCATCACTAGTAAAATCAATGTTATTTATACTCGCTGAGTAATTTATGAAAATATGATCAAGTTGAGTGTTTCTGCTTGTGATTTCCTTGATGTAATGAGTCCAGGTGTGGTCATGATCTGCATTCCCAAATCAGACTCTAAAACACTTGGGCTTTCCTGGCTTGAATTAATTGAGAGGAGTAAGTGACGTGCTTGTAATGTCATTGGACTGGTATCCAGACGTATTAACTCAACATGGACATGGCCTTGAACCCCACCATGACAACTGGTGGAATATAAGACCAAGAAGCTCAACAGCACCTTGACCTGCACCTCAACCACCATCTTCAACTATCACTCCCTACACCACTGATGTACTCACTGCAATTTCTACCATCTACAAGCTGAATTGAAGGAATTTTTTGAAAGTGCCTTCCAAACTTGTGCCCTCTTCCTCTTAAAATGACAAAGGTGAAGTAGAGGAGGTTACCTTTGGTCAAATTGAAGTTCAGTTAAAGAAAGACCAGAAAGAGTTCACTGGCTGTACCTGTTTGGTCTCACTGTAGCTATTCAAAGACCTTGATTCACAGCTGGTAGTTTGAGGTTGTAGCTGATGTCTTTGTTTGGAAATGCTGCTGTGAAAAGTGAACTCTTCCATTAAAAGTTTGATATATGCTTACAGGAATGTAGACACAATAGCCCAAATATTCTGATGGCCAAACAGCCATTAAAGCAGTGTAGACCAGACTCATGCATCCAGATCATGCAGAATCCCTTGGAACTGCCTGGAAAATTAGACTTTCCAATGGACAATATCCCATGTCTGGAATCTTCCAAAAAATGTAAAGTTGGAGAATTCAGAGGGTTCCAACTTACTTAAGCATAGTAGTTATGCAGAAATACTTAGAGGAGCAAAATGTAATCCAACTCCTGGATAATTATTAAACTGATTAAATTATTAAACTCAACACTGATTCCACAAATCATCCACACCCTCCCCCAGTTCAACAGTCTGATAGACCCCATGACTTGACCCACCACTCACCCCAGGCCGATCTGACCCTGCAAGGCTTGACATCGAGCCTCCACTGACTGCTGGACCTGACAGCTTCCTGTGCCATTAATTGACCCAACTTAACCCTCGCTAGACTCCTCAACCACTCTGATTCATGGTTCAAATTTGCTGGACAGTTGGGACCTCTAACTCCTAAAATTTGGTGGCAAGTGTCATTAGAAAAGGATTGGGTCTTGGCCTGCAAGGTAAATGGTTGATTTAAAAATATATTACCATTGGCCAATTCTATTCTGATGGTAATCAGGATATCTGAACCAATCAAACTCAGCAGACAGGGTACCACCTAGATGGAAATGGAGAGGGAGTAGCAGAAGCAGCAGTTTCCTCTCCCAGCTGATGGTGGGGTTTCTGCTACAATATGCCTTTCGCAACACACACAAAGCTTAGTTGGTCAAATGACTTGTCACTAACTGCCATCAAGAGTTCAAAAATCTATTAGATATTCCAGAAGTTATCTTTGGTTTGCTTATGTCTGCATGATTCTCTGAAAAAATTTAAGAACTTATGTCTAAGTAATTCATTTCTGAATGGTTCAGTTTTCAATGGATGAAGATTGCGAATATTTCAATTTTGAAAGAAAGCAGTTTACACATCTCCCCTGAAGCGAATCAGGAATTGTTGATAATCTTGAACAACTGTGAAGTGTCCTTATTCTGTAAATGTTCTCCTGCATCTTTTAGGGAGCGTCTGGGATCTGGAAAAAGACCAGATCAAGATTGAAAACAAATACTGGACTTTAACCTAACTGAATAAACATCTCAGCAAATTCAGCAAAAAAAAATCCTTTCACAATAAATGAAACACAAAACTATGGCGTATTTCATTCAAAGGTAACTTGATTGAAACATACAGGCGGATTTGATTGGGTATATTTGGAGAGGTTGTTCTACTTGCAGGAGAGTTTAGAACCAGAAGGCATAATCTTAGAGTAAGAGGCTGCCCATTTAAAACAGAGATAAGGAGGATAGTTTTCTTCTCATTGGGTAATAAATCCATGGATTTATTTACCACAGAGGGCTGGTGAGGCTGTGATAGACAGATTTTTAAATAATAAGGGAATTGAGAGTTATGGGGATAAGGCAGAAAAATGAATTTGAGGATTACCAGATCAACCGTGATCTCATTGACTGGAAGAGCAGACTTGATGGGCCAAATGGCCTACTAATACTTCTACATCTTACGGTCTTATGTTGTTTCTTGGATTTTATAATTGAGATAAATAACCAAAACGTGAAATGTACCTCGATATAATTGGCACAATCTAGGCCTTTAATAATTGTTTCATTGTTAGTTTATTTATACTATTTTCTCCTGATGTCCTGCATTTGTAAATCGAGTGAGGATACTAGGTGTGTGGATCTAGGCAGAGCATATTGGTCAGCCATTTGATTTCATTAGGAATCACAGTCGCATCGTCATACTACACTCAGACTTCAGTAGCACTATTGCATTTGAAATCGTGGGTACAGAATCACTCTGAGATATGAATACCTACTCTAGGCTGCCTCCCCAGTGCTGTCAGGTGATTTTTATTTTAATTAATTCATCAGATGTGGGTATTGTTGGGTAGGCCAGCTTTTCTTACCCAGCCTGAATTGTCTAGGAGAAGGGGTGGTGAGCTATTCTCTTGAACCTCTGCAGCTCTTGGGGTGTAGGGATTCTGCAATGCTATTAGAGGTGTGTTGCATGATTTTGAACACATGACAATGAATAAAAGAATGATATATTTACAAATCAGGATCACCAGTGGCTTGAGGGGAACTTGCAGGTGGTGGTATTCCTATGCTTGTATGTTGCTCTTGTATTTCTAGATTGTAGAGATAACAGGTGCTATCTAAAGACCCTTGGTGACTTACTGGAGTAACCTTGTCAATCGTTTACACCGCTGCCTCAGTACATCAGTAATGGAGGAAGTGAATGTTGAAGATGGTGGATGTAATTCCAGTGGGCTTTATCCTGACCGATGTCAAGCTTCTTGTTAATCCAAGGCCTCATCTGCTCTGATACTAGAAATTGTATACAAAAATTCCACAGAACTAAAGAAAAGCCTGAGAGTTTTTCCAGTTCCTTGGACACAATTTGCCCCTCAATAAACACCTGCAAGGCCCCCCTCACCTCCGATGGATTAATTCATGTTATTCATCATATTGCTTCGAGAGGCATTGCAGTACAAATTGGCTCCGATATTTACCCATATAACCATAGCAATTACACTTCAGAAGTAATGTATTGGCTGTAAAATCCTTTAGGATGCAATGATAAGAACACCAGTTGTTTGATTTTTTGATCTCTCTGCCCTTGATCTTTCTGCCTATAAACTCTGGGTCTGTGTGCTCTGCTCTTTCACGGCACCTGACGAAGGGGCTGCACTCTGAAGGCTTGTGTTATTTCAAATAAACCTGTTGGACTATAACCTTGTGTCAGAATATTAAAGGAATTTGCAAGTCTACTTGAAAGCCAAATCTTTAACATGGTTCAACACAGTGTGGAGCCAGGCCAGGCAGCATCAGAGTAGCAGGAAAGTTGACATTTCGGCTCAAGACCCTTTTTCTTCTGAAGATTTTTTGACATTTGAAGAAATGTCAACTTTCCTGCTCCTCTGATGCTGCCTGGCCTGCTGTGTTCCTCCAGCTCCACACTGTGTTGTCTCTGACTCCAGCATCTGCAGTTCTTGTTATCTCTTTATCATGGTTTGAATTTCTTCTCACTGACCTTAGAAGACTCCAAAATGCTTTAGGGCTGACAGAATATATTTGATGTAGAATAGCTGCTGTAATGCAATGGAGGTTGACAGCCATTTTGTGCAAAGCAATAAAATAAATAGCCAGAAATAAAAACAATAATTGTTAGAAAATGTCAACAGATCTGGCTGCATCTATGGACGAAAAGCAGAATTAACATTTCAGGTCCAGTGACCCTTCTTCAGAACTGAGTTCTCTCCACAGATGTTGACCAGACCAGAGTTTTTCCAACAATTTTTGTTTTGTTTCTGACTTCCAGCATTTGTAGGTTTTGTCTTTTTTAAGAAAAGATAAACAGCCAAATCATCTACTTCTAGGCATTGGATCATTTTCTTTTAAGAAGAGTGTTGCGAAATCTTGAGGTGATACATCTGACAGTACAGCACTGCCTTGGTACTGAAGAACTGTTCCTGTGAGGGTGAAGGGCAAGGTTGACAGGAGTAGGGAACCCTGGATGACAAGAGATATTGAGGCTTTGACCAGAAAAAAGGAGGCATGGCTCAGGTACAGGCAGCTGGGATCAAGGGAATCCCTGGAGGTATGTAGGAGATACAAAAGTTTACTGAAGAAGGAAATCAGGGAGGGTGAAAAGGGGGCATGAGATAGCTTTGGCTGAGAAGTTTAGGGTGAATCCAAAAAGATTCTTTAAGTATATCAAAGGAAAAAGAGAATAGGACCTCACAAGGACCAAAGTAGCTAGGTATGTGGAACTACAGCAAATGGGCGAGGTCCTGAATGAATATTTCTCCTCTGTGTTTACTGTGGAGAAAGGCACAAAGACTCAGGAACTTGGGGAAGTTGGTGGCGATATCTTAGGAACAGTCCATATCACAGTAGAGGAGGTGTTGGATGTATTAGAATGTATGAAGGTGGATAAATCTCCTGGTCCTGATTAGACATATCCAAGAATTCTGCAAGAGACTAGAAAAGAAATTGTGGGGCCTCTACTTTATTTGCATCATCGTTAGCCACAGGTGAGGTCCCAGAAAACTGGAGGGTAATGAATGTTGTGCCCTTATTCAAGAAGGGTTGCAAAGAAAAACCTGGGAACTATATACGAGTCAGCCTAACATGTGTGGTAGGTAAGTTACTTGAGAAGATTCTGAGGGATAAGATGTACAAACATCTGGAAAGACAGGGTTTGATTAGGAGTAGTCAGCATGGCTTTGTGTGTGGGAGATTGTGCCTCACAAATTTGTTGGAGTTCTTTGATGGAGTGACCAAGAAGGTTGATGAGGGCAGGGCAGTAGACGTAATCCATATAGATTTCAGTAAAGCCTTTGATAAGGATCCACATGGTATGCTGCTCCGGAAGGTTAGATCGCATGGAATCCAAGGAGCTGACGAACTACATACACAATTGACTTAATGGTAGAAAGCAGAGGATAATAGTGGAAGGATGGCTTGTCGGACTGGAGGCCTGTGACTAGTGGTGTGCCTCAGGGGTCTGTGATGGGCCTATTGCTGTTTATTATCTAAATCAATGATTTGGAAGAGAATATACAGGGCATGATTATTAAGTTAGCAGATGACCCTAAAATAGGTGGTATCATGGACAGTGAGGAAGGTTATCAGAAATTGCAACAGGATCTTGATCAGCTGGAGAAGTGGGCCAAGAAATGGCAAATGGAGTTTAATATAGATGTGTGAGGTGTGGCATTTTGGAAAGTCACATCTAGATAGGAGTTTCATGGTGAATGGTAGGGCCTTAAGGAGTGTGGAGGAACAGAGGGACCTTGGAGTTCAGGTGCACAGTTCTCTGAAAGTGGAGTCACAGGTAGACAGGGCAGTGAAGTCGGCTTTTGGCACACTGGCCTTCATCAGTCAGTAAAATGAGTATAGAAGTTGCGAAGTTATGTTGCAGTTGTATAGGACATTGGTGACGCCACACTTGGAGTACTGTGTTCAGTTTTGGTCACCTTGCTATAGGAGAAAGTGCAGAAATTTACGAGGATGTTGACAGGTCTCAAGGGACTGAGTTGTAGGGAGAGGTTGGACAAACTAGGACATTTTTTTTCTTTAGAGCGGAGTATCTTATAGAAGTGTATAAGATCATGAGAGGCAATGGATAGGGTGAATGCACTCAGTCTTTTTCCCAGGTTTGGAGAATTGAGGACTAGAGGGCATCAGTTTAAGTTAAGAAGGTAAAGAATACATGGGAACCTGAGGGGCAACTTTTTTTTTTTAAACATTGGTATGCATATGGAATGAGCTGCTAGTGCAAGTGGTTGAGGTGGGTACATTAATAACATTTAAGAGGCATTTGGACGAATACATTGGTAGGAAAGGGTGAGAAAGATATGGGCCAAGTGCAGGGAAATGGGGTTAGTGTTGACAGACAGTATGGTCTGCGTGGACGAGTTTGGGCTGAAGGGCCTGCCTCCATGAACTAGCCTGGAATACAAAGAAAGACTTGCATTTAAATCACAGCCTTTGGATATCTCAAATCATTTTGCAAAAGTATTTTTTTGAACTGCAGGCACTTGTTAACTGTTGTTTCCTTCATTAAAATTTGCACATCATCGTGTGAATGATCAGCAAGTTGCTGTTGACGATCAACTGATAGTGACCAGTTAATCAGTAGACGCCTGTACTTGTTCAAAACAGTGCCATTAAAATCTGATGTCTAACTAGGAATGCTTAATAACTCATCAAGAAACACAGTATTCTACTGTGTAGGACTTTCTCAGCATTGCAGTGTAAAGTCAGCTGTTCAGGTGTTCATGTCTCTGGATTTCAGGTTGAACTTCTGACTTGAGAGAATGCTGTATCCATAGAGCTGAAATACATGAAGAGCAATCAGTTCAATCATGTTGTCTCATTATGGATTGAAATTCAACACAAACTGAAGGAACAAGTTATGAAAGCTATGAAAATTAAGCACATTCAGTAATAGCTGAAGGCTAATTAAAGATTAAAGACTTTTTCTGCCTCGTACCCCTTCACAAGCATGCATAATCTCAGCATTCCTGACATTCTAACACTTTACTGAATTGGCCTGTAGTTCTGTAAAGTTTAGTTGCAATTCCAAATTCTGGAATAGAATGGTTTGATTGGATTCCTTTCACAAACAAAGAATGGTTTTTGAAACTGCATTTGCAAAATAATTTAACAGGTGACCACCGCATTACGTTGAATAACCATCTCATAAAAAGCGCTTAGCGACAGGTCATTTTGATACATAGAAAGCATTCTTATGGAGATTCTAGATTCAAAAAGCTTACAAAGTCAGTAGGTAGTACAGAATTCCAGACTTTAAAATATATTTTGATCAATACACAATGTTTACAAGAAATGCAAGGCAAGTGAATTACTGTTGCGTGACATTTTATTTGAAAGCACAGCAGAGACAAAGCATATTTGCAATGCAATGAGACAAAATGGGAAAATGTGAATTCACATTCAAACCTTCAACAACAGCTAAAGTCAGTATTAAACCAAGGGTTACTACCATTAAAACACTGCTGTATCATTTGTTTGAGATTTTGTTCCTTTGTACATTCTTGCAAACTAATCGGCTCATCCCTACAGATTCTTTTGGCCGAATACCTCAGTTTCGCATATTAGGAGATCCAAATAAACACAAATAGAAAAATAAAATTCTTTGTTTAATCTTAAGGCTAAGAAATGGCATCAAATTTAATATTGGGATAAACCAAAAGACTGGTTGATCAAGCAGCTGAAATGATCAGATAGGACTTTTTCTCACCAAATGCGTAAAATTGATTGAATGAAGAGCCATATTGAACTCAAAAATGTTAACTCTGCTCTCTCCACAGATGTTGCTCAACTTACTAAGTGGACCTACACTGTTTTTATTTCATACCTCCAGCACCAGCCATATTTTTATTTTATTTTAGTGTGTTCAGGCAAGGATGACTTCATTATATTATTCAGGGAACATCTTAAAGCAAAATGAGGAGCCTCTTGCAGGGAATACTGAAGAAAGCTAGAAGTTTACAAGTCACTCAATAACATGTCTCAAAACTTTAAAACAGGAAAATATTTAATAGGCTTTATTTTGTCAGATGACCTTCCATTTGGTATTTGACAAAAACAATGTCTGAAGAAGTTGCAGACTTGCTTGCTGAACTGGTGCGTTTGATTGCAGATGTTTCATCATCCTGCTGGGTAACACTGTCAGTGCGCTTCTGGTGAAGCGTTGGTGTTCTGTCAACAAACACATTGAACTGGACCCAATATACAAACCACTGAAAAACAGAACCGGAAGTGATGCCAACAACCCCAGCAAACCGAGGCATATAAATAACAGGCGGGACAGAACACCAACGCTTCACTGGAAGCGCACTGATGATGTTACCTAGCAGGGTGATGAAACATCTGCAATCCAACACACTGACTTGATGAGCAAGTTTACAACCCCATCCACCACCCAAGCTACAAATCTTCTCATAAACTTTATACGAAATGTCTGCTAGGTACAGAAATTAAACCATATATAACAAGAGTATGGGGGCAGAAAATATAATTATTGCTCAAAATGAATTTGACCAGACAGAAGAACATATTTTATTCCTCCCAATTTATGATGCAAACTCCCTTTAGTGGTGCAACTGCCCCATTTGGCTTAAATACACAATTGAACACATCTTTCAAGTTCTGTTGCCTTTTCACATACTAACACAGAAGTCAAACTTTGTTCTTACAAGTATCATGGTAATAGTAAAAACAGACTATCAATTTTCAATTCCATCATTTGATTTAAAAATTGTTAATTCTTTAAAAAAAATGTCAAAATTTGCATAACGTATCTCCAGAAATTAAAGAGAAGAGTGGAAGATTTCTCTAGTTCACTATTATGGGAAAACTCAGGACAGGGGTCCAAGGCACCTTTCTGAGGCCAAGTGAAATACTACTCCTCCTGGTCTATAACAAATTTACATCATTTTTGGAAATTAAAACACCGAGCCTCCTGTGGCAAGGATGCTGTTAGGCAGGGTGCACACTCGTTGCAGACAAGTTGGTTAAAATGACATCTCACTCAATAAACATCAGGATATAGCTTTGCCATCTACGTCTGGCTCCCACTCCTCTGGGGCCAGCAGCGGCAGTATTCTTGTACCCGCATTGAGCCAGGTGAACAAAACTGGGAATACCAGCCAAACACCACGCTCACTGCCCCGATCTCAAATCTTAGTTGCTCTTCCGACAGCATGTGCCAAGCCACATGGGTTGGAGTCAGCACTTATACTGCTGTTGAAGGAGCACTGAATTGGTTATTGATATTAACGTACAACCTCAAAAATAAAAGATTTAGCATTCTGAAAAGGAGTTAATTGTATGTTTTTGGAGGGTCTTCATTCAGTGCCAACATCTTAGTTTGCTTGAACACAGACAAGCTAGTTAAATTATCAACATGTGACTTATGAACCTGCTTATGTAGAACTGAAGAGTTTCCCCAAGCTTTAAGTGCCATAATATCTGACATGATAGTATATGAAATTAAATGATACAGATTCTGAAAATTATACAACTCATGGGAAGACAATGGCCATCCACAATATTATGCTATATTTATGAGCAGTATCTAGCAAACGAGGTAATATGCCTTTAATGCAGAGAATTAAAATTTAAATACATCAATACCGATAAAAAAGGCGATTCAATCACATCCATCATTTTGAAAATTTAAGTGAAACAGCAAGTGTTAATATAGCAGCTTGTTTGCAAATCAGCACGTTATCTGTAGTTTTGCGTAACTGTGCAACAACAGCAGCACGATGGCTCAGTGGTTAGTACTACTACCTGACAGCACCAGGGATTTGGGTTCAACTCCAGCTTCGGGTGACTATCTGTGTGGGGTTTGCACATTCTCCCTGTTTCTGTGTGGGTTTCCTCTGGCTGCTCTGGTTTTCCCCCTCACAGTCCAAAGATTTGCAGGCTAGGTGGATTGGCCATGCTAAATACCCGATAGTGTCCAGAGATCTGCAGGTTGGGTGGACTAGTCATGGGGAAATGCAGGATAATTGGGTAAGGGGGCAGGGGGAAATAGGTCTGGGTGGGAAGCTCTTCAGAGGGTTGGTGTGGACTTGATGGGCCAAATGGCCTGCTTCCACACTGTAAGGACTCTAAGAAGCATTTTGTTTATACAAATGAAAATAATAGACATAATTACAAGAAATATGTTAAATTAAAAGAATTTAGCTAATCCCCTAACAGCTAAATTGGTAATAACGTATGCTGGACCACAAAATCAAAATCTAAGGTTGTTCATACATTCATTACTACATTAGATAGCTAAGATATCAGTAATAGAATTCCAGATATGCACTTACCATCATTACGCTAGAAAGAGGAAAACATTCATATTTCATATACTTTACAGAGAGAAACCAGACGGGGTATAAATCTGGTCATCAGGTGAGGTGCTGTTGGTATTGCTGCACACAGTGCAGGTCTGGCCCGTTCCTCAAAACTGTGCCCTAGCAATCTCCTGAACCATTTTCCACATGTCCACAGGGACACTATGTAAAAGTCTCTGGATGGAGGTTGGGCTACATACCCAATGCTGCCCTCATCCCGATGGCCACTTTCGTGTGTGGCTGCATCAAGCTATGCATACACCTTTGGTACGCAAACAGCAAGGATTACTACGTACTGAGGTTCTACCTGTTCCCACTGTTGTGAAGGATGGGTCTGGCCTCAGTGCCACAGAATGCTCTAAGTTGTTGGACTGTTCTGTATCAAATGTTTTTTATGGAAAAAATTTGCCAAGAAAAACAATATTGATCACAAGTCCATCAGGAAGTGGTCAGCACGTAGCATCTTCAAGACCTTGTAGGAAAAGGAAAGGGTGGATCCTGTCACGTGGTTCCTTAAGCAGACTGTCAAAGTCATTTGTCAAAATGCCTGATCACCAGAACTGTCCAACAAGCATCAAGATATAGCTTGGCTGGCAATGAGAAGGGCACTGCCCATCAGATTCTTCATGCACACCAAGTCCCTTTGTGCCACCAGATGCTGCCCTCAAAGTGGCTGTGCTGGTCTACAGACTGTCACTCATCTCCTTCTGGGACGTGCATTTGCAAAGAAAGTCTAGAGAGAGATGCAGTGGTTTTTGTCAAGGTTTGTTCCAAGCAGCTCTGTGCTCTACAGATTGTTCCCTGGGATGCAAACCAAGACGAACAGTGACTGCACTTGGAGGACCTTCAACTTGGTGATCTCTTTGTCTACCTGAGACCTGTTAGTTTTCCAGTGCAGGACCTCAACTGAATGTTGCAGACTGGCACATTCCAATGTTTGGGACTAATGTGCTGAGGGACGCACTAAAGTTTGGGGCAGCTGCCACCGAGATGCAGTGGGGAAAAGACCTCTGCCTGGGGTGTTTCTGCCAAATGAGGGTCTGTTCAATTGAGTTGAGTCAGACCTCCTCGGTGCCTCAAAATGAACATATATAGCTTCCTGCGTAAGTAAAAATCGCCCTTAATTTGCAAATATAGAGAAGCTCTGAGAAATGAAAAAGTTCCAATTTTTTTTGTCTTTGTCTCTGCAAAGACTGCATAGATATGATTTAGAACTTGTGTGTGTACTTATAGATGACTTTTTTGAAAAAAGTACATTTTTTAAATAAAAAAAGTTTGAGGGTGACATCCTGGAGTTACACTTGCTCACCAGCAGTGCTTTGGACTAGCGTTACAGGGATATGGGCCAAATGCTGGCAAATGGGACTAGATTAATTTAGCATATCTGGTCAGGAAGGATCAGTTGGACCAAAGGGTCTGGTTCCATGCTGTACAACTCTACGACTCTATTTAGGGAACTTGATATTAAAAGCACTGCTCTTGAAGTCATACAAGGCAAAGAATTGAAGTATGTGAGAAACCTGGTCTTCGCAAACAATTTGCTAAAATCTATTCCCCAGGCTATTTTGGTGGTATGTCACCGAAGCACTTCAGAACTGAATTTCAGCTGCTTTGAATGAAACAAAAGGTACAGACACAAAAGGACTCAAGATTAAATTTTTAAAAAAATCCTTGGGTTAGAAAAGTGTCCTGAATCCACTTTTAGGTATTTGAGACATGAACTGAAATCTACAAGCGGAAATGGAAATTGGCTAATGAATATTACATAAAGTTCCTTCACTGAGGTTCTCAGTGTCTTGCAGCCTTGCAGATCTTGTCATAAACCTCAGGGAATGCATCTTTGGAATTCAGCTGCTCCCTCAGCTTGTGGTACAAAGACCCATCAAACATCTCCCAGAATTCTTCTCGAGTCAAATAGCAATCAGCATACAACATCTGAAAACTGAAAGGAGAAAGAAAAACATTTAACCTTTTAAAATGTTTTTAACAACGTATATTTTCAGTGAACTTCCTGCTTGTACTTCTCACACACACAAACTGCCATCTCTAGAAGTGTCAACGTAATTACAGCAGCAAAATTACCATAATTCTAAGTATAAAGTCAGAAATAGCAAACTTGAATCAGTATTCATTCCAGTCATCAGTGACCAAGAATAATGGAATAGAAAAAACAGGATCAATACTATCCAATCAATCCCAGCTACAGACTGTGTGAGCACAGGAGCAGATTTAGGTAGGATATCACCTGTGGTCAACTGGTTTGTTAACAGGCAAAATCAGGAATGGGGCAGGCTTGACCATATCTGTTGATGTGGTCAGATGTTCAGCCTGTGTTAAAAAGACAGGCAGATTAACTCTCAGCCTTAAAAGGACAGTCCAAAAAATAATCCACACGGAGAGGTCAAGCACTTAAAATTGCATTCCTGGAGGGTTCTGTTTTGCCATGAAATGCAGGACAGATTCCTCACTGGGATCCTGGGGCAATCTATTGTTACAAAAAATCTTGCAAACATTGTAGAACATGAGCTTCTTACATGCCCGAGTTGGCTACAAAGGAAACCAATCAAAAACCGTCAGATAGCATCGTACAGGGCAGGGCTTTAACTGCATAATTTTATGAATGAAAACAGGAATAGCACAGTCACATTTCTAGACTCTTTAACTGTGTGCAAGGAAGATTTTCAGTGGGTAGGTTTGAAGTATAAAACGCAATGTGGGGCACTGCTGCCAATGCAGAAAATCACCAGAAAACTGTCAATAGCATTTAGTTCTGAAAAAGGGTCACTGAACCCAAAACATCAACTCTGCTTTATCTCCACAGATGCTGCCAGACCTGCTGAGATTTTCCAGCAATTTCTGATTTTGTTTCTGATTTTCAGCACCTGCCATTCTTTGGGTTCTTTGTTTTCTAAACAGCATTTAACTATGAGTCAGACCTATGAAAACACATGTACACTTACTAAATTTATTTACCTCTAGCCTGTTCGAAGATTACCCTGTGGCACTACTCACCTGTGTGAATTGCGCAAAAATTTCTCTAGCTGTCTTGTCGATGCCACAGCTTCAAACTGCTTGGCTCTAGGTTCTCCATAAGCCCCAACATCTGCATAAAGTTCAGGCTCATTGCCCTTTGGGTGAACCATACCCGGTAAGCTGGGTAAGTTGAAGGGACACAGCCAAAGTGGATAAACCTGCAGAAATCAAACCAAAAGCAGCAAGATACAAAATTGTTCTTGACAAAGCATTAAACAAAATATATAAAATAGCTTGTGTGGTGTTATACCACGGGCATACAAATGTTAGATTTCATTTATTTCATTTTTTTTAATAGGCCTCTTGCCAAAGCTTCATATCATGTTATGATTGCAGCTGGTGATAATGGACAAGCCAAATCCCACAATAAAACCTGGTTTGATAGATTCTACGTTTAACTTTTGCAGTAAGTTAGTTATTGTGGTAGTTAGACATTTAATCTATCTATACAAGGCTGCAAATGTTGTTTAACAAAAGAATATGAGTTTATTACATGAGAGAAGAAAAAGCTCCATTGATGAACACGAACACACACACAGTAGTTTAGAAAGATCTTAATATAAACAGCAAAACAAAGCTTCAACTCGTTTCCTAGCAAAATCCTTTTCAGATATTTAATCCCAGAGAAATATTACTCCTATTTGAACTCTTCAATTTCTTACGTGACAGCCTCTTTCCAGTTCTCCTTCAAATGCTGAGATGGTCTTACAACTTTTCCAGTTCAATCAGCCTGGATGTCCTTTTAGTTCTGATAAATTGAAAACATCTATTCAAACTCTCACAACTTGGAGACGTCACACACTAAAACCCTTCTGCTAGTATGACGGTTATCCTGAACTGAACACTTGATTCTTCTGAACAGAGGTCAAAGACTAAATCAGTGATCTCTGCAGGTCATAAAACTCAACAATATAAGTAGCTAATCAATTAACATAAGTATCCTGCTAGTTACTTAACTAAATCACGTGCTTTCTTAGGAATGATGTATTTAGGTCATCGTCCTAAATGACTTTCTGACCTCCAAAACCAAAATCAAAATCTGACTTTCATGGTAATATACACCTTTATCAGGGCACGGCAGCTCAGTGGTTAGCACTACTGCCTCACAGCTCCAGGGACTCAGGTTCAATTCCAACCTCAGGCGACTGTCTGTGTGGGGTTTGCACATTCTCCCCATGTCTGTGTGGGTTTCCTCCGGGTGCTACGGTTTCCTGTCACAGTTCAAAGATGTGCAGGTTAGGTGGATTGGTCATGCTAAATTACTCATAGTCATTAGGGATGCGTAGGTTAGGTGGATTAGCCATGTGAAATGCAGGGTTATGGGTATAGGGTGGGGGAGTCTGGGTGGGATGCTCTTTGGAGAGTCGGTGTGGACTTGTTGGGCCAAATGGCCTGTTTCTGCACTGTAGGGATTCTATGGATTAGTAAATGCGCACAGTTAAAAAGCAGTTAATTTAATTCAATATGTTCAATCAAGAACATAAATACAAAGTTATGTCATACATAGCTCTCCCTTCAAATTATCATACACAAAGCAGTTTAAAGTCGCCCAGCAGTTAACTGGTCTAACAAAGTTCAGGACCAAGGTGGGTCTTTCCTTGTGTGGTTTTGGCCAACTATAGAGACATCTGACGGGACCTAACACTGAAAAATGTACAAAAAGGCTATAGACCAGTAGCATTATGACATCCAACTATCAAAATAATGAAATTTATTTGAGACGATCAACAACTTATCTTTCATCACTCTCTCCTTGACATTCAATGACAATGCCATCATTAAATACCATGGCTACAAAGCAGGTCAGAGACTGGGAAGTTTGAGGCAAGTAAATCACTTCCTGACTCCAAATGCCTGTCTACTATCACATGAGCAAATCAGGACTATGATGAATACTCATCACTTGCCTGGATAGGTACCGCTCCAACAAAAAGCTCAACACCAAGAAAAACAATCCACCCAACTGCCACACATTAACATAAACATTCATTAGCTCCAATATCAGTGCACTATGGTAGCAGTACATCCCGAATACAAGTTGCACTTCGACTTTTTAAAAATGTATTCCTTCATAAAGATGTAGGTGCCACTAACATTTATTGCCCATGCCTAATGTGCCTTTCACCACCTTCTGTAAGGGAGTTTCAGGACTTTGACACAATAAAATTGAAGGAGTGGTGATATAGTTCTGAGTCGTTATAGTGTGCATCTTGGAGGGGAACTTGCAGGTTGTGATGTTCCAAAGCAACTGTAACCCTTGTCCTTCTAGATAGTATTGATTGTGGGTGCTGTCAAAGGAGCCTTAGCGAATAACTGCAATGCATCTTATACATAGTAAACTCTGCTGCCACTATACTTTAGTGGTGGAGAAAGTGAATGTTGCAAGTGGCAATTGAGGTTCTAATCAAAAGGGATGCTTAGTCCTAGATGGTGTTACGCTTCTTAAACGTTATTGGAGCTGCATTCATTCAATTACAACCCCGATTTGTACGTTGCTGATATCATAGATAGTTTTGAGGAGATAGGAAGTGAGCTTTTTGTTACAGAATTCCCAGCATTTGACCTGCTCCTGAAGTCATACTATTTGTATGGCTGATCCAGTTCAATTTCTGGTCAATGGCAAACCCAAGATATTGAGTGTGGGATTCAGCCATGGTAATAATATTATTGAGTGTTCGGGGCAATGGTTTGATTCTCTTCTTGGAGATGCTCACTGCCTGGCACTTGTGGTGTGATCGTTACTTGCCACTTATCAGCCTAAGCCTGAAAGTTATTCAGGTCTTGCTGTGTACAGGCATGGATTGCTACAGTATTTGGGGTGTCAGGAATGGTGCAACTGGGGATATGTGTTGAAGACTACATTGTCCTGACCTTATAGCAGCTGAAGATGGTTGGGCCCAGGACACTCCCTTGAGGAGTTTCTGCAGCGGTGTCCCAGTACTGATAGGATTTGCCTCCAAAATCCACAACCATTTTCCTTTTGCTGGTATGATTTTGACCAGAGGAGAGTCCCTGCACAAGATTCCCATTGAACCTAATTCTGCTGGGCTCTTTGATACTCTTCTTCAACAACATGTAAACCAGCAACTTCTCCCGCTAGAAGGCAAAGGCCACCTGACTTAGAACTATAATCACCAATCCTTCACAACGTCTAGGCCTAAATCTAGGAACTCCCTATCTATAGCACTGTACATATACCTAAATCAATGCCGCAGTTCAAGACACAGTGCACTACCAGCTCTCAAAGGCAATTATGGACAGACAATGAATGTTGTGCTTGCCAGTGGTGGTCACAATCCAGAAACCAAAATAAAAAATTACTATTGATTCCACTTGCTTATTTTTGCCTCTCAAAACAGAAAACACTAAAGTAAAAAAGAAATTAAAAGCAGCAGGATGTTCATTATAAGCTACTTAGTTAAATTTAACTGCAGCTTATTGCACCAACTCCCATACCTTGATCTCACTGTGGAGAAAGAGAATCAATTTCTCCAGACTCTTCATTGGTACCAACATGTCTTGGACCACATGGTGCTGTTCGTATAGCTTACGGATTGTTTCTCCTTGTGTTAGTTTTAGCAGTGAAATCTTTGGAGGGACCATCCAGCCGAAAATATAGCGGAAGAGTGGATTATTGCCAAATGGAATGATATCCTTAAGTTGAAAAGACATTAGATATAATATTTTAGTTTAGTAATAAAATGTTAGTGTCATAACAGTTTATTGTTCTTTTACACTATAAGTGGGTGACTAAGTTATTACTTCAGAGTCTTCGGCAAGTGTCCTACAAGTTTTGGTTTGTCCCTCCATTTAATAGATCAAATATGTGTGAAATTCTACTGTACTTATCAAATATTACACATAAAAATGAATACTGGAATCTATTATTATAAAATACTGAACATGGACATTCTCATTAAAATAATACATTTCGTGCCTTTCACATTAAAATTATTCCACACATTAAAAAAAGAGGCAAATTTTGAAATGTGAGAAGCAGCAAATGTTGAAAATACACAGCAGGACCATTATCACCTGAGAAGAGATTTCAGGCTTCCATTTTAGATGCAAGACCTTCATTAGAAAGGACAAAGTTCCTGTATTGTCAATTTCTGGAATTTTTTTATTGTTTTCTTTATTAAATACATTAGTTTGGAGGCACAGCAAATTAAGGAAACTATGATTTTGCTAATATAGATTTGATTGGACACAGAACCATTTATTGGGAATCCTTGTATTTTACAACATGCTCATCGTCATTCATGTTCACAACTTTTAGCCTGGTGGATTCAAACACCCACTGCTTCCTTAGTGATTACAAACAGAATTGTATGTGGTTTGTAGGGAAATAAACTGACTTGAAATACACAAAATTTCAAACTTGGAATTCAGTAGTTTAATTGATCTATAGGTTGGCTTTAAAACCTTATGTGCAGATCAGTTAACTTCAGTACAACAGTGATAATAGTTGTGGTCAGAATTTAGTTTCAAAGAACAATAATATCAGGAGAGTCAGACTATACTTTCAAAACTAGCAGGTTGAGGTCAAATATATTTTGGAATCCTGCTCCTTCGTTTTCCTTTCAGAGTTCACGTTCTATGACAGTCCTTAATATGTACCACAGTTCACAAAGTGAAACATCAAGTTAACAACACATGCTTACAAGTACTTGCCATTAATTAATATTGCTTGGAATTTGTCTTTTATATGATTTGTTAAATCATCTGTAAATACCAGTTAAATAATTTAACGGTTAAGATACAAACTGAAATAAATCATAAAATCGACATTTTCAAATGAATCCTTTGATTAGGCTATAATTCATTCCTCAATTATACAAAATGAGTGAATTACACACAGATTAAACTACCAGATGTACACAAGTTATACATGTAGTAAATGCTCCTTAGCAACTTTAAAATAAAATTTGGAATATAAAGAGCATGTCTTAGGAATCATGACATATCAGCTTTTAAAATATCACCGCTGTGAAATAATTAACAAATAGCAATATTTATGCTTGGTAAATACAGAGGGAAGGCCGTTACACAAGAAAGAGATCAAGATCCAAGCATGCTACTTTGGAATAGATAAAGTGCAGGGAGGGACTAAATCTACTCCAGCCAACAAAACTCACTGTGCTGCATTTAAGTGAAATGTGAAAACCTTACTCAACTGCAGGGAGCTTATTTTTCTTGTCATTTTGTGAAGGTAGGAAAACTCAAATGTTTGTGACCTTCAAGTCAATCCTGGCTACAATAGGTACAGAAATTAATCATCAAAGTAAATTTGTCCTAGTATTCCAGATCAATTAATCCAACAAAACATATTTCATACAAAATTGAGCTGGTTTTGCATCTATTGTATGCATCTTTTTGGAACTGTAGCAACTACAGTTCGGGCAGGAACAAGAGGCTACAAATCTGGTGGTAGTTCATATGCTCATTACCTGAAGTTCCCAGAAGATGCTGCGAGTGTGACGGTGATAGTAGTGCCTGAGAGGGATATATTCCACTGCATTCTGGGTCTCTCGAAGGTATTTCTCCACATGCTTAAAAAACCATGGCTTATAATAATAGCCAATTCTATTTATCTAAAATAAAACATAGCAATGGTTTAACTTCAATAATAGAGACTGTGATGTTCAGTTGTTATTGTGGGCTTCCAGTTTCTTTTGCCATTGTTCATTCAAACTGAACCGAAACACTAAACTAATTAACATACATTTAAATAGAACTTTTAAATAAGGAAAAACACCCAAGATTCTTCACACCACATCACCTAGACAAAAATGGACATCACACCAATAAAGGGAGATATTAATTCAGTATGACTAAAAACTTGGTTGGAGATTGGATTTTAAGAAGGTTGGGAAGGTGAAGCTAGAAAAAAGGTGTGGAAGGAAATTCCACAGCATAAATGGCTTAGAAGACTGAAAAGGCACATCTGTCAATGGTGGGATGAAGGGAGAAGAGGTTGGATACCAGACTCAGAGGAATTACTTGAGGGCAATCTGTAGCACTGGAAATATTAGGAGATTTTGACACTGGGAGAGTTGCAGCCGCGGTCTGCAAAGACAGAGATGATGGCTGCATGGCACTTGGAGTACGACAGAATATGGCTAGCACTGTCTTAGATTAAATTACAAAAATTGAAGTATGGACAATCAACCAGGAGAACATTAGTAAAGTCATCTCGAGATGGCAAAGACATGGCTAAAGGATTCAGTAGAACAGCAAGAATGGCAGCATATTATGGAGATGGACCTAGGTAGTCCTTGTAATTGGAGGATATGAGATTGATATCTTAGATTTGGGTTAAAGTGGGTGCCAAAGTGCAAATACTATGTTTCAATCCAAAATTAGGGATGGAATGGAATCAGTGGGAAAGCTACACTATTTGTGTTTGGAGTGAAGGATATGATTTTCCCAAAATTTAACTGAAGGAGACTGTAACTCATCCAAGACCTGATATTGGACAAGCTGTTTGATACCACAGAGACAGGGGAAGAATTGAAATGAGATTTGATGGAAGCTGATCAAGTCTACAGATCACACTGCTCAGAGTTGGTGTATAGATGTGGAAGAGGAAAGAAACAGGCTAGAACCTTGGAGATTTTAGAAGTTAACGGTGTGGGGAAGAAAAGAAGACATTTTTGGAGATGCATAAGAGAAGAACCAAGCAAAAGCAGTTCTGCTGAAATCAGGCAAGGAAATCCATTAGAGATAAATAATTTTTAAAAAATTCTTGTATGGGGTGTATGTGCCTTTGGCAAGACCAGCATTTGCTGCTCATTGCTAACTGACCTAGAAGTGACTGGACATTTCAGGCTGCGATGAAGAGTTAACCACATTGTTGTGGGTCTAGAGTCCTATGTAAGTCAGATCAGGTAAGGACAGCAGATTCCCCTTCATAAAGGGCAGCAGCGTACCAGATGGGTTTTTATGACAATTGACAGTTTAATGGTCATCATTAAACTTTTATTTAATTTCAGATTTTACTGAATTCAAATTTCACCATCTGCCATGGCAGGATTTGAACCTCCATTCCCCAAACATTAGCCTGGGCTTTACCAGTCCAGTGGCATTACTTCTATCACCATGTCCCCTAATTGATAATGTCAATGCTGTGTTCCAAGATATGGAGGCAAGGATTAGAAACTGCTAAATAAATACCATTAAAAATATACCTGTCTTTTGTTTCAAGACAGAACGTTGACTTAATGTGGAAGGCAGGTTTGGAAAGGACAGGAAAATATTTGGAACAAGCTCTCTATTTTAACCTAAATAAAAGCAAGGTGTGTTGTGTAGTCATCTTTGTTGGTTCCTGTTAGCCCAACTTACCTTATCTGGTTCAGCCACATCAGTCAAGACTCCAGTCATGACCACAGCTTCATCCAGTGAATATAAAAGTCCCTCCACAAAATGATTTTCCTTGCTTTGGGATTCTCTACTGAATGTTTCACAGATCTTCTTCAGGCTGTGCACTGACTGATACTGCAGGCGCACATACTTCTTAGCAGGAATGATCTTGATCTCTGCTGCAACAAGAAATCCGAGAGTACCACATGACCAAGGCACAGCATAAAATAAGTCTGGATTATCTTTCTGAGGACGAGAGAGAGAAAGTAAGTATCATTTTAGTGCAGTAGTGACAGATGTTTGAAAAAGATTAGCATCCTCATTTTGTAACATATCTCCAAAGTAAACTCAAACCTAAACTATTCTGCAATCTATTCCACAAAAATACTCAAGTTCTATGCTATTAAATAAGTTTGTAGATATTTAGCCTCCTCAAATTCATAGGGATTCAGAAAATGTTGAGAGATGGAATACCATCTCAATCTCTACTGATCACCCTAATCACTTTAAACATTGTGGCTAATACAACAAGGGAAACAAGAGTGCCTATACTTCAACAGCCAGTAACCTCAGAGACAGTGGAAAAATGCCTGGTGTTGGTGCTCTTACAGGTTAAAATTGCAATGATGAGCGTTTTAGTGCTAGCACCATACAATAGTGATGTAATACACCATGGCCCCCCAAAAAAATGCACAACATTGTAGCAATCGTTTAGAAAAAAACACATTGAGGATCTATTTGCATTTAGATAGCCGTTGAGAAATGCTCCCAAATATCCAAATCACCATACATTCAATAATGTTAGAAATAGGAGGGGAGGAGCACATGCCTCTCAAACCTGCTCCACCATTCAATAGCTGATCTTCAAACTCAACTCCAAATTCCTGCCCACTTTCCCATAACCTTGATTTCCCGAGGTGACCAAAAATCTGTCTGTCTCTTTATTCTGAAGTGCAACAATTGTTCTGACAATCTGTTAAAGTTAGTACAACAATTCCAATAAAACAGGACACAGCAAAAGCTGGAAGTGATCATCAGTGCGAGAGCCAATGTCATCAAAAAGCAGAAAGACAGCACCCAGTTGCAGTTTTAGTAGCCAGAATGATTAAAAAAAAAAAAGAGGACCTCCAAAGATAATAGATCTGGATTCTTCCTAGTGTGACATGCTAGCAACTATAGGAACAGCAAGATAAGGCAGGTTCTACAGTGGCTGAGTAGGCATCACACTGTTGGAGGGAAGGTAAAGCCCAAGAAAGGGTGAAGAGGAAACTTATTAAAATGCTATCAAGAATGAGGGGTTTTAGTTATGCAGAGAGAATCTGGAATTTTTCTCCTTAGAGCAGGGAAGGCTAAGTGGAGATTTGGTAGAGAAGTTCAAAATCATGAAGGATTTTGCTAGGAATATATTTGGAAAAACTATTTCCAGTGGCAGAAGGATCAGTAAGCAATGGGTAAAGCTGTAAAGTTAAAAGGCAAAAAAGAAAGAGCCATTTCTATACAGTGAGTCATTATGATTTGAAATGGACTGCTGATATAGTAAATTGAATGGCAACCTTTAAAAGGGTTTTGGAGAAATGATTAAAAGGTGAACAGTCACAGGAGAAAAAGCAAGGGTATTGGATCTGATAGCTGAAATGCCAATGGTCTCCTTCCGTGCTACATTATTTGACAATTCCATATCAGAAAAATTACACAAACTGCATCTGGATATTGACTAGTGAACGCAATTTCCTTTTGGTTAAGGCAGGAAAGTTAACCTTTCTCTTTGAACTGTAGCACAAGATCTTTAACATCCACATGAACCACCATGACAGAAAGGAGCTTGACTTAATTGCATTCAAACAATATGGTAGAATAGTATAAGAGACTTTATTTCAGTCAGTCAATCTGAATTTTATGTACCCTACTGGCTGTAACTGTGGCAGGGACACACACAAAATAGATTGGGCTGTTAGCTCACCACCTTCCTGCTCATTCTTATGACACACCATGTGGGTGGTGCTGAAATCAACAAACTATCCACCATATTTAAATTAATAATTATGGATAATTTAGGCATATTTACCTGACAATAATATACTGCTGAGCCATAAAACGGCTGGAGTGGACAGTTGGGAAGGAATGGGCAGTCCATTTTATTATGGCCTAGATGAGAAAAGATGGGAATGAGGCCCAACAGCCTCCACCAACATGTCACCTTGCTTTCCCTCTGCAATACCTGCTTGAGAGAACCCAGATCCCAAGTCTCTCTCTGGCTCTAGACTTCCTCAGTGCACTAAAACCAAAAGGACTTCTAGGACAACCTTGATCTTCCTTGGGCTTCTTCCTGCAGAGCCAGCCAAGCCCAGTACTGATCACTGGCTCTGGGGTCTGGAAACGATGGAGTTGCCAGCCAATCAGATTGCTCGGCAGCTCCTGAGGACAGGACTTCTGCTCATTGAGCAAGTGAAGTCCCAACGTGCAGAATATCATGACCATGGGTCAAGCTTTTGGGACAGTTTGGCTCTGGCTGACTTTCTTTCTGCAGGAGGAGGGTGGTTGGGAAAAAATTATGAACCTTGAAAATGGGTTCTAAACCAGAATCATGATGCTGATAATTGATGCAACAATTGAAAAGCAAAAGGTCAATTCCTGGTGAAAAGATCTTTCAGGCCCTTTGTTTTAAAAAAAGAAAAGAAGAAAGAAAAAAGCCTTGAACTAATAATGAACAACAAAATCTTCCAATTTAAGTTGCCATCAAAACAGACTTCAAACAAATAACTTAGAAACATTGTTATATCTGGACATGAAAGTAAATGATGCTCCATCATTTCATACCTCTGTACATCTAATGAGGCTCCCATCAGCTAGGACCAACTCATAAGCTACACAGATGTTTTGGAATAAACCATAAGTATGGGATGAAGACTCAATACCAGTTCCCATGATGAGGCCACCTGAAAACAGATACTTGTTTAGGGACACAATCTAGTGAATTTCAGAGATATTTAAAATACCAACAAGACCAATCACAGAAAACATCCATTGGAATGCGTCAACTATATTGAGTAGCTACCACAATACAAGAAATTGAATTGAACAATGGTATTTGAAGCAATAATCAATTTGGTTATGCTCATTTTTGGTCATTGATGGTTTGCGACATCTTATCAAGCACTAATACCTGCTGTTTTAGCAATAGTGCCTTTATCATCAACTCCACCCCAACTTGAGTGCCTATACACTAAAATGAGGGTGCAAATGATGTCAAGAGCAACTGACTCCATGCCCTCATTAATGAGAAAACTTGCCAGATCAAGCTCCAATCCTTGAGATAACAAGGTGTGGAGCTGGATGAACACAGCAGGCCAAGCAGCATCAGAGGAGCAGGAAGGCTGACGTTTCGGACCTAGACCCTTCTTCAGAAATGGGGGAGGGGAAGGGGGTTCTGAAATAAATAGGGAGAGAGGGGGAGGCGGATAGAAGATGGATAGAGGAGAAGATAGGTAGAGAGGACACAGACAGGTCAAAGAGGCGGGGATGGAGCCAGTAAAGGTGAGCGTAGGTGGGGAGGTAGGGAGGAGATAGGTCAGTCCAGGGAGGACAGACAGGTCAAGGGGGCAGGATGAGGTTAGTAGGTAGGAGATGGGGGTGGGGCTTGAGGTGGGAGGAGGGGATAGGTGGGAGGAAGGACAGGTTAGGGAGGCGGGGATGAGCTGGGCTGGTTTTGGGATGCGGTAGGGGGAGAAACAATTTTAACCCCAATCCTTGAGAGTTGACCAGTCAGCTTCTTGGTGAATCATAAGGCTCTTGAGTGAAGTTACTTATCAGAAGTTGCCAGAGGGCGGCAGCTTCTGAATCCTACAGGACATTGCTGGAGACCTAGCAGATCCAAATGCAAAAAGGTACATTGTTTTCTTTCGGGTCTCGCAGAGATGAATGTTGTGGAGAGATGGGTTCAGAAGCAAGGGCAGGGGGTAGCCACTTTCCCATGGGAAAACAGGTAATTGGACCAGTGATGAGTTGAGGTCTTTAAGTAGCCATCAATTTACCATTTAAGGGCTTTAATTGTTGGCAAGTCAAAAAGGTCCCCAGTAGACGTTTACACTAGCACTTAATTGCTGAAATGGCAAATTTTTCTCCAGGGCCATGCTGTCCATTTTTCGTTCTTCACGTACAGGGTAAGGTTTAGTCGTAACATTTGTAATAATGCAATGGTCAACACAAGGATCCAACAAGCAGTGCAACAACTCATTTAAAAAATCATCAGCTTTACGTGTTATCAATAAACAAAGGAGGAGAATCCAAACGGCTGACATCCCACTAACTTTCTCTTTGAGGAGGAGACTACATGATCAGAAAAAGATCAAAAAATTTGGTGCACTCAATTTTTTAAAAGTAATTCTTATAATCCTTTTAAAGTACCCATTTAATGCAGGATAAAAAAAAGTCTGTTCATACATTAGTGTGATAAATATTATAGGGCTTATGTTAACCCTAACCCAATTATGACAGGAACAATGTGGGTAGGCAGGATTGAGTGGTGTAACATGGATGTGGGAATCGTGTTGCATTCCCATTTTCCACCATTGTTCCTCACAAAACTGACACAGGAAGGGTTATCTGACCAAATCAGCTGTTGGCCTCCTTTCCATGAAGAGGTCACAGGTCAATGACATCAGTAACTCCATTTTAAGTGAAATTAATGGGGGGGGGTCACATGATGCCAGCATAACAGTAGAACCTGGTGGGAGACAGCAGAGTGGCTAGGGACTAAAGCAAATACTTAGGTTATTTTGGATCAGCAGCAACAAGAATATACGCAAAGGCCCTGCAAAGTATAGTTGGGGAATCTCAACCCTAGTCTTCTCTTCTCCCCATACTGGCATCTTCATTATAACTAACTTCATGGAGGGATGCATTCCCTTGTATCCCTAGCATTATTCATAGCTTCCGTCTCAATTTTTGCAACCATCTATAAAGATGTTACACTTGCCACTTTCAGGCAGGTATATTTTATTTACAACGTACACATTGTGAGCTGTACTTGGGAGGAGATGGCCAATATTTCAGTTAGGGACGGTATTTATATTAATAACAGTGTACAGCCCAAAGGTGACAAGCACCACGGACTCAAGTCAAGCTGTAAAAGGTTTTCTCAAGATCACCAACATAACTCATTGATTTTCTTTTTGATTTGTGGGAAGTTAAGACCAAAGGCAAAATATGTTGTAACCCCATGCCTCTGATTCCCCATATTTATAATGTTTAACTATAACTAGGCTCCCATTTTGAACATACAATTTCAATCAATTTCAACAAGAATACAAAAATAAACTGATTATTCATTAGCAGATGTCAAATGAAAAATGCATTTGGCAACGCCATCCTTGAAAACCACAAGCTAGAACAGAACAGTAAAGATTTCAGAATGTAAATTCACAAACATTATCAAGATTACTTGACTTGATGGCTAATCAACAAATAGTCTTCTGGGTATAGGAAAACTACACACCCACAGTGAGATCATCCAACTCTGGAACAACTGGAAGAGTCCAACCGATTGAATTCAGAAGTGCTGTCAACTGACCCATGTTAACCAATGGTTCCACACGGACAATCTGCAACAGAAATAGCAGTTAAAACAGCATTTTCTTCCTTTCAAACAATTCACAGATTGAACAAATAATAGTTCATTGACAAGAAACACAGAATCCCAGCAGTGTGGAAATAGGCCATTTGGCCCAACAAGTCCACACCATCCCTCCAAATAGCATCCCACCCAGACCCATTCCCCTAATTTCCCATGTCTAATCTAAACATCCCTGCGCACTGTGGGCAATTTAGCATGGCCAATCCACCTACCCTGCACAGCTTTGGACTGTGGGAGGAAACCGGAGCACCCAGAGGAAACCCACGCAGACACGGGGAGAATGTGCAAACTCCACACAGACAGTTGCCCAAGACTGGAATCAAACCCAGGTCCTTGGCGCTGTGAGGCAGCAGTACTAACCACTGAGCACCGTGCTGCCCCTCACTTGATTCGCCAATAACAGTATTCTACTCTTTTCCCTTTTCCCATTGTTGATGGGAAATCTGGGTGAACACTGTCTTCCCCTTTTAGGGACTGTACAACATTTGACAATGAGCACTATTGTTGAATAGTGTACTGATGCCCATGCCAATGCATTACTACTATGCAGTGGCTCAAGACACTATCTTGCATAAGGTCTACGTAGAACACTTTGAACGAATGTTAATGAGTTCATACTTACGAATAGACAGGTTTAAAAAAACCTGACTGTGTTACAATTTTCAATAAACACAGCTAACATCTGGCTTAAATGTTGCTATTTATCACTGCAACTCTCTAAGAGAAGTACATCCTTATGTAAAGACAACACAGTATGGAGCTGGAGGAACACAGCAGGCCAGGTAGCATCAGAAGAGCAGGAAAGTTGACATTTCCCCATTTCTGAAGAAGGGTCCCGACACGAAACGTCAACTTTCCTGCTCCTCTGATGCTGCTTGGCCTGCTGTGTTCCTCCAGCGCCATACTACATTGTCTCTGACTCCAGCATCTGCAGTTCTTGCTATCTCTACATCCTTAGGTAATGAGACTAAAATTGCACGTGGTACTCCATGTGAAGGGGGCCAGTTTAGTTCAGTGGGCTGGACAACTGGTTTGTAATAGAGTGTTACCAACAGTGCAGGTTCAATTCCCACACTAGCTGAGGTTACCATGAAAGGCTCTCCTTAACTTCTCCCCTCATCAGAGGCATCATGACCCTCAGGTTAAACCATCACTAGTCTCTCTCTAATGACAGAGCAATCCTGTGGTCTATTAAGAATATGGTGACTTTACCCTTACATAATTGCAGAAAACAATGTTAATTTTTATGTTGTAATCTCCTAAGCGCTCAATAAAATCTAAAACACCATTTTCCATCCCACTACTTGCTGTACCTGCAATGTTAACTTCCTGAACACAAACACTGACTTTTTAAAAAAATCCTGCTGTTCCAGTCTTTCTGTTAAAGTGGGGAAGTTCACACTTCCAAATTTGATGTTCCATCTGTCACCTTTCCCCTCATTTAGCCAGTCTATATCCCTTTGTTGCCTCTTTACACCTTTCTCATAACTTATTTCCCACCTACCTTTGTACAGTCAGTCAATTTAGATATATTACATTTGTTCCCCCTCATCCAAGTCATACAGCTTGTAAGTAGCTGATGTCAAAGCATTAATCCTTGTGGTACTCCACTAGTTATGCTTTGCCATGCCTAAAATTATCCATTTACTTCTACTCTATCTACAAATCATTCCTCAATCTGTCCTGGTATGTTATACCGAAACCCTTGAATCCTAACCTTACATAAATTTCTGTGACTTTACACAACAAACCTCTTAATGAAAGTGTTTTGAAAATCTAAATATACACCAACAGGCTCCCAATATCCTACTAATTACACTATTCAACTCAATTAAATTGGTAAAACGTTATTCCTATTTATAAAATCATAACAGAACATCATGATTACTGAGTAAAATAACCTGTTACCACCATGGTTGATAAGGCATTGTATGTACAGCTATTTCATAAGATTAGCATGGATAGAGAATAGGATTACAAACAGAAGACAGAAAATTCAGATAAAGGGAGCAACCTGAAACTGAAGAAGTGCCAAGAGGGTCAGTATGGAGGGTGGGGGGACAATTATTTATAATATACATTACTGATAGATAATGGAAATGAATATACTATTATCAGATTTGAGGATGAGAAAAAAATAGAGGGGAAAGACAAGTAGTGGGAACGAGACAGAGTCTACAGGGGAACACAGACAGTTAAGCAGGTGGGCAAAATTTGGCAGATGGAATATAATGTCAGAAAATGTTAGGTTATGCATTTTGGCAGGAAGAATAGAAGAGCCAAATATTATTTAAATGGCAAAAGACTACAGAAAGATGCAGCACAGAAGTATTTGGGAGTCCTCATGCATGAATCACAAAAAGCTAGCATCTGAGTTCAGCAGGTAATCAGGGAGTCAAATGGATTGTTCCCTTTATTTTAAAGGGAATGGGTACAAAGTTAGGTAGAGATAACAAGGTGTAGAGCTGGATGAACACAGCAGGCCAAGCAGCAGGAAATCTGACGTTTTGGGTCTGGACCCTTCTTCAGAAATGGGGGAGGCGAAGGGGATTCTGAAATAAATAGGGAGAGAGGGGGAGGCAGATAGAAGATGGATAAAGAAGAAGATAGGTGGAGAGGAGACGGACAGGTCAAGGAGGCGGGGATGGAGCCAGTAAAGGTGAGTGTAGGTGGGGAGTTAGGGTGGGGGTTGGTCAGTCCAGGGAGGACGGACAGGTCAAAGAGGCGAGGATGAGGCTGGTAGGTAGGAAGTGGGGGTGGGGGTTGAGGTGGGAGGAGTGGATAGGTGGGAGAAAGGACGGGCAGGTTAGGGAGGAGGGGACGAGCTGGGCTGGTTTTGGGATGTGGTCGGGGGCGGGGAGATTTTGAAGCTTGTGAAGTCCACATTGATACCTTTGGGCTGCAGGGTTCAAGTGAAATATGAGGTGCTGTTCCTGCAACCTTCGGGTGGCATCGTTGTGGCACTGCAGGAGGCCCAGGATAGACATTTTGTCCGAGGAGTGGGAGGGGGAGTTGAAGTGGTTCGCGACTGGGAG